TACGTATGCTGAAGAGGGGGCTCTTGGAGTGGCTGTGGATATTGCCAAATCCTCGCATCGAAGCACGGTCGAGAATCAGATCCTCTCCAAGCAGTTGCTGCGACTGCAGGCTTTGATGCAAGGTCACTGACGGCACTGGCGGGCCATGCTTGCACGTGCATGAACGAGAGCTCCGGAGCAGATAGCGAGCTCGTGAAAACAGTTCTCCTGCATCCGAGACTTCCTGAAATATATATATATATATATGTATATGTATATACATATATGTATCTATATATATATATATATATATATAGATGTAAACCCTAAACCCAAAACCCCAAACCCCTGAACCCGAAACCCTGAAGCCCTGAACCCTAAACCTTAAACCCCTGCCCGTGAATCCTAAAGCCTAAACCCCAAACCCCTCGGATGCAGTCAGTTCACTCACGGGGGGCTGCAGCAGGACTGAAGTGTCACATGCCTGCTTACATGCAAATATATGATGCTCAAGCAGTTAATTAAATTTTGGTGCCTTGAGGTTTTTCCCACTCTTACCTCTCGGCATGGCAGGGCCAACATGGATGGTGAAGATGGAGCTGCTCGGCTGGGGATCGAGAGCTGCAAAGGCGGTCAACGACCTGGAACGGCATGGCTGGGACAGGATGACAGTGTTGGTACACGGACTGCCAATTGCAGAGAAGGACCGGTTGCATTGGCTTGCCATGGGCAACTATACGCCTCACGGCAAGTGGGTGAATCGCTTCCTGACGAGAGTGACTTGCCCAACGGTGGTAGCCCTCACGGGCATGTCGAACCCAGAGAATCTGGCCAAGCACTCATATAATATATATAGATATATGAGTATAATATATGATTCTTTTTATATACATTAATATCAATATATATATATATATATATATATATATATATATATGTAGAATATATAAATAAATAAATATAAATAAATAAATATATATATTTATATTTATACATATATATATAGTATTATTATTATTAATTATACATATTATACATAAATATATATATATATATGTTGTTTGTGACCTTGTCACGTGAAATCAAACCTTTATCAATAACTATTCAACTTTCTGACATATTCTCCGTTTTGTATTTCTTGCGGGTGGAGCTTAAGATGACAAGATTTTTGTTTCTCGGCATCTGAGGACATGCGACCGCTTCATCGAATCCGCTATGGGTTATGCACTGGAGCACAAGCTATGCGACATCGTCATGGCCCTCGACGAGCTGCTGTTGTGCTTCGGGAATATGGTCCCATACCTCTGTCGCTAGGCTGCATATTATATATATATATATAATAAATATATAAGAAACAGACAGATATATAAATATGTAAATACATATGCCATATGAACTGATTATAATTATAATAATAATGGTTCTTGTGAAGCCTATCTATATATATACATAGCAGGAGCTTTCGCCTTTAGCTGAATTAATTTATGTATATATAGATATATACATATATTTCCCTCGGAGCCTTATCCAAGATGACGACATCAAGAGAATGGCGGAGCCCAGCATGTCTCAACTGGATCGGCTCATCCAAGACATGCCACTCGTGAACCAGACCCAGGCCCGGCAACCTTACAGCTTATTTCTCTCTCTCTCTCTCTCTCTCTCTCTCTCTCTCTCTCTCTCTAAATAAATAAATATATATATATATATATATATATATATATATGGCCTGAACCCTTCAGTCCTAAACCCTGAGCCCTGAACCTGAACACTGTACTCTCCCTGAGGTGGAGGTTTGAGCTGGCCAAAGTCTTCTTCACCAGAATTTGTGGGGCACCCACCGGGAATAAAACCCGTGCCCACGGCCTAAGGCCTACCTTCGGGTTTGCAAAGCCAGGAAAAGAAGTTCGAAAGAATGCTGGACGTTTATATATATATATATATATATTGCTTCGGATATGAATAATTTCCAAAGCATTTGGGAAATAACCTTGAAACTTATTCTAGGACTGTTTTTTTTACATACTTATTGATTGATTTTTCTGATCCTTTCAGCGAATCTGCATCGGATATGAATAATCTTCAAAGCATTTGGGAAAGAACTTGCAAACGTATTCTACGACTGATTCATTTTACATACTTATTTACTGATCTTTCTGATCTTTTCAGCGAATCTGCATCGGATATGAATAATTTTTAAAGCATTTCGGAAAGAACAACAAACCTATTAACACATTTTTTGGACCATATATATTGATTGTTTGACCTGTATATCAACATATGAATATTGAGAAATATAGGGAATGACATGCATTTCCTGGATTGAATACATTTTATACATCATATATATTGACATGCATTTCATTCAACTTACATGATTGTCCAAGTCCTTGTATTTCCAGCACTTACACTAAAGGCCTTGGATTCTGAGGTCTTAGCAAACATGGTCACATTTGAGGTCTTCGGATGCTTAGGGATTTACTTTGCGAAGATACTTTTACCTATTTCTGTTGTGACTGCGCATGCACACATTTCAACATGAATGCAGTGCAGAGCGGAGTGCAGCGCAGAGTAGGTAGGATGCCGTCGTGATGATGTTCGTTGTTGATGATGATGATGACGAAGATTTAACATACCAGATGAACTACTTTAAAGACCGAGTAAAACAAGCCTTCCCCCACCCAATTTCGAGTTTTCGCTGAAAGCCCTCGCAAAGGCAAACAGACAACGTAGAAAAGTCCAGAGGTAATCTTGGCAACTTTATAAGATGGCGGACATCCCGAAAGTACTGTAAATACCGAGTAAAATGGCTCTTGCGGAGATGTTGTTCGAGGTGTCCACGTAACAATCTCGACTTCATTCTTCCCGCACACCCACGCACCCCCACAACAAAAAAATCCACAATCGGATGCTGGAGATTGAAAACTCGCAGGTGAAATTTCTAGCTTCATAAGATGTTCCTACATGACGAAAGTGCTGTAAATACCGAGTAAAACGGATGTGGGTTACAAGAGTATGTAAAAGAGGTGGTTGGTAGGGGGGGGGGTGGCTAGTAGTAGTAGTAGTAGTAGTAGTAGTAGTAGCAGCAGCAGCAGCAGCAGCAGCAGTCCAGCAGTCGTAGAAGCAGCAGCAGCAGCAGCAGCAGCAGGAGGAGGCGAGGAGGAGGAGGAGGAGTAGGAGCAGTAGTAGTAGCAGTAGAAGTAGTCGTCGTCGTAGTAGTCGTAGTCGTAGTCGTAGTCGTAGTCGTAGTCGTAGTCGTAGTCGTAGTCGTAGTCGTAGTCGTCGTAGTAGTAGTAGTAGTCGTCGTCGTCGTAGTAGTAGTAGTAGTAGTAGTAGTAGTAGTAGTAGTAGTAGTCGTAGTAGTAGTAGTAGTAGCAGCAGGAGTAGCAGCAGGAGTAGCAGGAGTAGTAGTAGTAGTGGTAGTAGTAGTAGTAGTAGTAGCAGCAGTAGCCAGAAAACTAGTCGTCATAATTAGAGATTGAGGCACTGCTTGCTTCGTGTGTTCCAAGTCGATGCCAAAGCGAAATCCCGAACACGAAACCCTTGGAGCCTACTTAACTACCGTTACTGTTTCAACGCCAAGCTATTATAATTATTCAGAATTTGAGGTGTTATCGTATACACACATTGTTTTGAAATAAGGAAACTTACGGAATATGATTGAGGTTTAGGGTCTTGGTGGTAGTGGCTTGAACGAGAGCTAGCTTTTCCGCGAAACTTTGAGCCCAACACTCCCAAAAACAGACATCACATTAACAGCCGAGCGGCCATCGAGGATGACATGGCTGCAGCTGGCCGCTTCATGCTGTGCCGGGGCTGCAGTACGCTGCAGGTTCGCAGCGGGAAGAAGTGCCCACGAAGAGAACAGCGAGAGCGCTGGCGGCAGCGAAAACAGCCAATAGCAAACGCTTTGAGCCGGTGAACCAAGGAAAGCAAACCCACATCGGGATACGCTGTCATCGTGATTATCATTAGCAGGCCTAAGCTCAAACGCATGGCGCGCCCAGGACGGTCCCTACGCCCTAGGGCCCTAGGGTTTTGGGGTACACAACCTTTGTACATAAGATCACACGCTTTTCTCACAGTGCTTCCTCGCCCACAGCCTTCCAAAGCCCCGAAAACTCAAATCCCAGGCCCACTGGGCCCTGCAAACCCTAAATCCTAAACCACACGGGCCCTCTAAACCCTACATCCTGAACCCCAAACCCAAAACCTGAGCCTGAAATCTTTGTAGCCTTCAGGGCTTTGGCTTTGGGTATGATAACTCCTTGAGACTTCAAGCAATTGCTTCACCCTGAACTTGAAGCCCCAAACCCCTAACCCTCAAGCCAAACCCTTCACCTGTGGAGCCGACACGAACCCTAAGCAGCAACAGGCCCTCATAGAGGGACTATTTATTGGTAATCAAAACTATAGCCGGTTCCCCAACCCTAAACCCCTCAACCCCTCAACCCCTAAACCCCTAAACCCCTAAACCCCTAAACCCCAAAACCCCAAACCCCTAAACCCTCAACCCCTAAACCTTAAACCCCTAAACCCCAAAACCCCTAAACCCCAAACCCCAAAACCCCTAAAACCCTAAACCCCCAAACCCCCAAAACCCCTAAACCCCCCTTTTGGAACCGGGAGTCTCCTTCGGAGGCATTGCCGACATCAGCCGGGCAGCCTGCTGAGGCCCAGGAGGTTCAGAGTTTGGGTTTAGGGTTTAGGGTTTATAAGGGTTCAGAGTTTGAGCTTCGGAGATCTGAGGGATGTTTCGAATTTGTTTAAAAGGTGTTTCGGGTTTAGGGTTCAGGTTTAAGAGATCTGAAGGGTTAGGGGTGTAGTGGTTTAGGGTTCAGGTTTTAGGGTTTAGGTTTCTGGGGTTTAGGGTTTTAGCCTTTAATTAGGGTTTAGGGTTTATGGGGTGTGAGATTGTGTTTTGTCTTCACGGTTCGGGGAGGGGGTTGGTCTCGACGAAAGCCCCGCATTATAAAAGCCCAAAGCCCCATAACGAAAGCCCAAAGCCCCATTATAAGACCCTAAAACTCGAGAATAAGATCCTAGAGCGCTAGAAAAAGATTAAAAAAGCCCAGCAGAAGACTCTAAAACCCTAGCATCAGACCCTACAGCCCTAGCGTACGACTCTAAAACCCCATAGTAAAACCTTAAACACCCAGAATAAGACCCTAAAATCCCATAACAAGACCCTAACAGCCCCGCATGAGAGACGAAGTAAACCCTAAACCCTAAAACCTAAACCTTTAAACCCTAAATCCTAAACCCTAAACCTCTAAACCCCTAAACCCGAAAGCCCTGAGCCGCCTTGTCTTTGGCCGCCTCGATGGCCTTCTGAAGGTCGGCCCTCTCCGCCTGGCAGAGCTTTGGGGCTCAGGGTTTAGGGACTTGTAAGGGTTCCTTTAAGGGTCCCTTTAAAGGGATCTATAGGGATTCCATAAGGGTATAGGAGGGTTTAGGGACTTACTGTGGGGTTTAGGGTTTAGGGTTTTAGGGGTTTAGGGTTTTAGGGTCCAGGGTTGGGGAAATCAGGGTTTAGGGTTCAGGGTTCAGGGACTTCAGGTTTTGGCGAATCAGGATGTAGCACGGTACCGTCTAGGTCTAGGCTAGGCGAGCTCTTGAAACTGTGTTGTGTCGGAATTGGTGCAGAAACGTGTACCTCTGCAACATCACACATCAAGGGCGCTGCATAAGCACACAAGCGACTGATTGAATGAAGCAGCACACCTCTCAGTATCTTGCTGCTGTATGCACATCGGCCAAGTTCTGTGGTCGATAAAGTGGACCTTGTTCATGAAGGTGATTGGCAACCAACATGGCAAACAACAACTGAAAGTGCGTAACATATAATTACTACGAACGATACTACGACACATGTATACAAAAAATATGACTGTGTGTATGTCCGTCCGTCTGTCCTTCTGTCCGTCAGTCTGTCTCTGCATAAACTAAGGGACAACCCACGAAACTCTCAACCCTCATGACCCCAATAATCAAGCCCTAACCCCTAACCCTAAACCAATGAAGCCTTAATGGCCTAAAGCCCCTAAACCCTGCCTTCCATTGCGCTTGCTCCGCTTTCCTTCTTTCGGCAGCGCGGTCCTGGCGACGCAACTTCCTAGGGTTTAGGGGGTTCAGGATTTAGGGTTTAGGGGCTCCGTCTGAGATATGAGGGATGGCGAATTAAATGGGGTTAGGGGTCTTACTCGACAGGCTAGGTGTAGAGTGGGTTGAAGATTTGTCCAGCTAGGGTCCATGGGGTTGATGCTCGCAGGTTTCCATGCCGGAGCCCTCAGTACTGAGGAGTTTGAGGGAACAGCCGGCAACGCCCAAACTTCGCACTGCCGCGCTCCTCGTCGCTGGTGGGTCGTCCGCCTTGTGACAACAGAGCTTATATTTCCCTACAGCTGCAGCCCATGGGCAGTCTTTGCTTCTAGGGTCTTTTGCACTTAATTACTCTGTTTTGACTTTGAGGTCCGGGGGCGTTCAAACAGCGGAATATGGCATGCATGTATTCCATGCCCACAGGCTCCATAGTAGTTCCTTTTTGGGGCTCATAGTTAGAATCCTCCAGGGTAATCCCCAAAAGGAACTACTATGGAGCCTATGGGTGAGCTTTCAGATGATCCCTTGTCTACTTTGCTGCCATGATCACAGCCCATAGTCTCATTGCCTGGCATTTGAAGCCCTTTACTAGGCGTAAACCCTAAACTACTCCCGAAACCCGCAGCGCTTAGCCCTAAACCCCGAACCCCAAGCCCGTTCCACTCTCTGGTAGCGGGGTTTTAACGATCGGGGTCCGCAGATTCGGTTCATGCCCGGCCCAATGCACCAACATCGCCGTCCAGCTGACTCCGTCTCGGTCTTTTGCATAAACCCTATTTGGGAGTTTCCGACAATTAGGGTACCTTATCTGGGGGTCCTTTAATAAGGATCCTACTAGTTAGGGTGCTATATTAGAGGTCCGATCCAGCTCTAAAAACATAAACTTTAGGTACGGCCCCCATACAGTAGGAGTCTATAATAGGGCTACTACTAAGGTCCTACTATATCTATATTACGAATATTACTCAACTATTACTGAGTGGGGGCCGTACCCAACATAAACTGCTTCAGGGCCTGTTTAAGGGTCGACCGCGCTTTCTCCACAAAGCTTTGGGTTCCATGAAGGGCTGCTAGAGGGTTCTGGAAAAGGTTTCTGTAGGGTCCTATAAATGTTTTTTCATGGGATTCTGTTTAATTAAGGGTTTCTATAAGGTTCGGGGTTTGGGCCGAACTGCTACTGCAGGAAAAGCAATCACTTAAGAGCGAAGCTTTGCCTCACATCCTCTACAAACTAACCTTGCAAATCCCTTATAGAACACAAAAGAAACCCATTATAGAACCCTACAGAAACCCGTTATAGAACCCGATAGAAACCTTTCTGGAACCCGAAACTCGCAGCTCGGCCGCCTTTGGAACGCCACACGGCCAGCTCGGCATTGAGGCGCTCGATCTGTCCCGGGGGACAAGAAACCCTCCAACTCAAGATCTCCGGGGTCACTACAAGGTGTGCTATAGCAAGGGCTACTAACGGCTACTATAACGGAGGTTAAGAAATCTCCGGGGTTACTATAAGGCTTGCTATAGTAAGGGCTACTATAACAAAGGTAACAAACAAAAGGTTACTATAACAAGTTTTTTTTTTTACGAGGGTGCTATAGGGATGGCTGTTGGGGTCTGGGGCTTCAGGGCTTCGGGTTTGCGGCGATGTTTCGGCCGTCAGCAGCAGGGTGTTAGGCGTTAGGGCTGAAAGCTTTCTGAGCGGTTGGGTTTCAACCCTTCATGTCTAGATGGGTTGTTCTCTGAATTCTTAGGTCCCCTATGTAGCACGGCACCCTTATAAACAAGACCCAAACAAGACCTTGGCAGAGACCCAAGTTTAGACAACTACCCAAGAAAGCTTCGACGATTCGACGATGTAGCATCTTCCTGTCCTGTCTGGGGGAGGTCGAGGTTCGTGCGCGGGAGAACTCCATGGCTATCCACGAACCCCTCCAGCCTAACAGCCCTAACCTCTCCGAGAGAGCCAGAATCTCACGGGGTGCCCCGTGGGGCTCGTGAAGGTTTCCGCAGTTGCAGGACGTCAGTATACAATTTAGAGGGCTGCTGCGCCACCACCACCACCACCACCACCACCACCAGCACCACCACCAGCACCACCACCAGCACAATCACAATCACAATCACAATCACAATCACAATCACAATCACAATCACAATCACAATCACAATCACAATCCCAATCGCAATCACAATCACAATCACAATCACAATCACAATCACAATCACCACCACCCACCACCCACCACCCACCACCCACCACCCACCACCCACCACCCACCACCCACCACCCACCACCCACCACCCACCACCCACCACCCACCCACCCACCCACCCACCCACCACCCACCACCCACCACCCAACCGAAGCCCAATGCCATAAACCCAAAACCCCAAAATCCCAGACCCCCAAACCTCAAACCCTAAAAAAGGAAACAAATTAAAAGTTTCTGGTGCCTCCGCCCTCTCCGCGGCCAGCTCGGCATCGAAACCTCTTGGGGGAGGGCCCTGGCCTCGGCGGAGAAGCTTCGGGTTGTTTACGGCTTCCTAGAGCGTGCCAGGGCTTGTTACGATTTACAAGGTCTGTTTTGACAGTCTAGAGGATTTCATTCGGGGTCTTTGAGGGTTCAGGGGTCGGTCAGGACAGTTTAGGCTTAAGGGTTTAGGGTCAAACCTCCGCAAACAAAATGCCCGAACGTCTCCAATCCCTTCGCACATGGAACTTCCAGTATTGTGAGCCACTACCCCTGCCACAAGCAGACCCGCCAAGGCCGTTCGCGCATTTTCTCCGCTCTCTGGCGGGTCTCCATCTGCCTCTCGCGTTTTGCGGAGAAGCGCGCGGGACCTGACTCGCTCTACTTGGAGGATCATGGGACTTAGTAAGTAAGGTTATAAGTACCCTAATTGGGGTTATAAGTATAGTTACCCTAATTATAACCCCAGTTACTAAGTCCCATGATCCTTTAAGTAGCGTCTAGGGATTGCTGGTGCAGAATCCGAAAGCGGATTCGTCCAAACTCAAACCCTACAAGCCTAAGTATACCCAGAGGCTCCATAGTAGTTCCTGGTTGGGATTACCTTATAGGATTCTAAATATGAACCACCGAAACTACAATGGAGCCTATGGGGATAAAGTAACCAGAATAGCCCATATCAGGAGACATAGAAACCCCACTTATAACTACCCACGCACCTCCAAGTAGACCCAACCTCTAGGCGTAAAGCTCTAAACCCTTGAACCCTACACACCCAAACCCTAAGCACCTAAACCCTTAAACCACTAAAACACTAAACCCCTAAATCCCTAAAGCCCCTAAAACACTAAACCCCTAAACCCCAAACCCCAAACCCTAATGAGCCCAAAAGCCTAAATCCAGATGGGTGGTGCCTTTTTGGGTACCTTCAATTTTAGGTGCCGTACTATATCAGGGACCCAAAAAAGGGACCGTAATTTTGACAACCACGCAGATGTGGTGGAGCGGTCATGTTGAAGCTGTCCGTTCTGAATGGACAGCTGAATAAATTAGTGTTATGGTTCTACCTATGATAATACTGGGTCTAGGGTTTAGGGTTTAGGTAGTGTTATGGTTCTACCTATGATACTACCGGGTTTAGGCATTATTCTTGCTACTCTTTTTGTCAGTACTGTTGTTACTCTTATTCTCGGCTCATAAGTAACCAGGGAGCAAAATCATAAACAGTTTTTCATAATGTTCCTCTAAGGAAAAAGGTATTAAAGTACGGTACTCCAAGGCCCAGTGTATTGTTCTTAGTTTAACTAACCAGTGGTTTTGGGGGTTCCCTTGGCTCTTTAGCTCCTTATTTAATATAGGGATTATCATCATCCCTGGCTCCTTAGCTCCCATAATATCAATGGCTAGTTAATTTCGGACTGGAAGATCGCTCAGGTAGTCCCAAAGATCTCTCATCAGTCACACTTCTGACCCCAAATCATCAGTGAGTTACGGTTAGTTACAGTTTTAACTCTAACAACCTTCAACACTCAACACTTCAATTCTCATCAGCTAGTTTCAGTTTTAACTCTAATAAACTTCAAGACTCAAAACTTCAGTCTTATTAGACTCCCGGCTCGCTAGAGTAGCTTCCCAAGAACCTAGGCAGAAGCAGGGTGATTTCAAAACTTTCACAAGAACACTAACTGCCAATAGAGCTAGCAAGGATAAAGTTCGGGCATCGGAGGAGAGCTACAGGAACGAACACAAAAAGTCCAAAAGCTTGAAGACGATTAACTAAGCCCCTCTCTTTCAAGGCCCGAATATTAGGATCCTACGGTTGATGATACAAATCCTGCATGGGTCGGAAGCCTGCCTCGCATCAAGGGGCGCCAGGGATCTCAGCGCAGCCTGAAGTTCCGTTCGGCTGGGCTCGAGGATTCCGGGTGAATCGGCACCCAAACCTGAAACGCAAACCCGAAAATTGACAGGGTTTGGGGTTTAGAGTTTAAGGTTTAGGGTTTGGGGTCGAAAATTGACAGGGTTTAGGGCTTCGAGTTTAAGGTTTAGGGTTCAGGGTCGAAAAATGACTATCAACTTTCGTCGTGGTCCCCCCCCCCGCTCTCACACACACTTGCAACTCCCACGTGCTAATCCTTAACCGAGGATCTTCGAGCCGCAGGCAAGCCCTTGAGTTCCAGGAAGATGCAAAACCCTGAGCCCTGAAACCGTAAACCAGTCACCTTGCCTTCAAAAATGGGTTTAGGATTTTATGGTTCAGGGCTTTCAGCCGGCAGGACCTGACATTTCTTGTTCGAATGCAACTTTTCAGGCCTAAGCCCCTGGAACCCTGTATAAGCCTTAAACCCAAAACCCCTAAACCGGAAGCCCCTGAATCCTAAACCCCTGACCCCTAAACCTCTAACCACTAAACCCGAAGCTCCAAACCCTAAAACGGATCCGTCAAATCTCAAATCGGGTGGTTGTCAAAATTATGGTCCCTTTTTGGGTCCCTGTTATAATACGGCACCTATTATTTAGGGCACCCAAAAAGGACCATAATTTTGACAAGCACTCAACGGAATCACCTGCCCCTAAACCTTAAACCCTAAGCCATATAGATTCCTTAAAGGAACATAGCCCCCTTTAAAGGAACCTCTATATTACCCTCATAAACTTTCCGAATATAACTATTGAGGCCCCTAAACCCTAAACCCTATAGATTTTTTAAAGGAACCCTTGTAGTCCCCTTTAAAGGAACCTCTAGATTATCCTCGTAGATTTCCCTAATATAGTTGCTGAGTCCCTAAATTATAGAACCGTATTACAGGTTCATTGCAGAACCCTTTGAAAGCTCCCTTTGAAAGGAACCATGTAGTGGGTAGTATTATTAGGGGGACCCCTTAAAGGGTACCCCTTCTGAACCCTACTTCTGGCTCTCTTAAAAGGGGCCTTATTGAGAGGGTCTATGTCCGCAAGGGTCCCCCTAATCCTAAGTCCCATGTAGGCCCCTAAAGTAAAATCCTCTCGGCCAACTGCCGCGAGGCCACCGAAAGGTCGGCGGGCAGTGCGCTGCGGGCGTCAATCGCAGTGCGGCCAACGGATAAGGCCAGCCTCTGCTGTCGGGATTAGGTCTTTTTGGATTTAGGGGGGTTTTAGGGTTTAGGGCTTATTATGGGGTTTTAGGGTTTAGGGTTCGGAAAAGGCCAGCCTCTGCTTTTGGCATTGTGGGGTTTATGGGTTTACGGTTTGCGGCTCATAGCGTTTAGGATTTAGGGGCTTATGGGGTTTAGGGTTCGGATAAGGCCAACCTCTGCAAAGTCAAACTTAGGGTTCTGGGCTCAGGTTCGCAGGGCTAATTCAGGGTTTAGAGCTTAGTTCAGGGCAAAACATCGGGCAGGTAGATGTCGACGCACACTGACAAAACCACCTAAAACATCTCTAAAAGGGTTTGTGGTGAGATCGTCTTCTACATCTGCTAGGAACCCTCAGTTTTAGTTTTACTGGCATTTTATTGCTTACCCATTCTGTATGCAAACTCCTAGAGGCAAACCACAAAGATGCCGTAATGACTAGAATCTAGAATAAACTAAGAAGCTTACACTGAAAAACCAGGGTCTAATTTGGCCGGGTGCCTCCGGGCGTGCAGAAACACGCGCGGGCACCAAAGAGCCACCTCCCCTCCGTAGGTTTCATCTCCTGAGGTAACGGATATGGGAGTTTCCGAAAATAGGGGGCTCTAATATAGTACCCTAAATAGTAGGCACAGTAGGATCCTTAGTATAAGCACCCCAAAATAAGGTACCCCTAATTTTCGGAAGCTCCCTTTTGTGTATTCGAACAGCACAGACTTGGCCCGTAGAGTGGAGTTCGCCTTGGGTTCACAAGTACTACAAAGGTTCATGGATTCCATGTGGTGTGGGAAGACGGACACTACATGATCGCACTGTAATCTTTGGGTCTTTCCTTCGGTTGAAGAGTTTAGCGCTCAGGATTTGAGGGGCCTTTCCCGAGCCTAATCTGCAAATCCATATACCAAACGGACCCGAAACGCCACGCTAGTTTAGAGAACAACCCATATCCTGCTGTCATCATGGAATGGTACGAGCAAACTGAAATTAAACCTGAACCCCCCACACCTAAAATCCTGAAACCCTGAACTCCTCAAGCAACTAAACCTAACATCTTCAAACATACCTGTATAAAAATCCGGCCCCCACTCAGTAATAGTTGAATAATGTTCATAATATAGATATAGTAGGACCTTAATAGTAGCCCTTTATAGACTCTTACTGTGTGGGGGCCGTACCTAACCTATAACCCACAAAATCTGCCCTCCAGGAATGATGGGTAGAAACGAGAATAAGGAACCCAAAAAGAGTTATTTCTTTTTGAGGCTACAGGTAGGGACACTCCAGACCCTACACCCTAAACGCCCAAACCCTAAACCACCAAAACCACTAAACCTAGAAACCCTTAACCCTCCAAAACCTAAAACCCCTATACCCCATGAACCCCCTAAAGCATCAAAATCCAAAAGAAACCTCGAGAACCAGACCAAGGCTCCAAGCAAAGGGTGGCCCTCATTCGCCAAGTGCGCACGGATTTGGTGTCGGCGGCCCGTATGTAGCGCGATCTGAACGGAGCATTGTAGGTTTAGTGTTTCGGGTTAGTAGGGGTTTAGGTTTGGGAAAAATCAGTGCCGTCACTTTTGGGGCAGCAGACTACCCGAGGCACAACGTTGAACATGAGACATGGCGCTGTGGGGGGCAAGTTTGGTAGTATGTGCTTCAATTTCAGATCTCGAAGGCTTCTGCGATGAGGCATTGCTGGATCCCTGGATCCCTTCTGCTACCATGCAGGAAAGACGAAAAGCTCACATTGTGGTGACGTGTAAAGAGGATCCCAGAAAACAACCGCCATGGAAGTCGAGACTTCGCCAAAGCATGACGTTTCAGGCTACGCAACTTGAAGCTAACGGGGAACCCAAGTAGCACAGTAGCACCCGTTTCAAACTGTGCCCCTTCTGAGGTTTTATGTTAGTTTACGTGAGGAGAGCAACTGTACGGATAGCCGGAAACAGGCAGGACGAGCACAAAAATTTGCAAACCCCACCCGCCCTAACCTCGGCGATGCTATAGCGCCCACTCTCGGAGGCGAGGTGGCAGAGATTGGAGATCTCTGTCTTGGACAGCCGGCCTGGACAGCAAGAGTAGTCCCTCAAAGGACTTCTTTAAGGGTTTCCGCACGGGTATGTATAATAACGGTTCCATACGGGTTTTCGGGCTTCGGATTCTCCGGTTTACTATGGTAAGAAGTAGTATTACTAAGTATTCTGACCCCGATACTATACTGAATCCGAAAAGTCTCCGCAGAAGAATGCCTACAGGCTAACCCCCAAGCCCCCAACCGCCCAGCCACTCGTCCTCGTAGTACTAGTTGTCCCAATGGTCTGAGCATGTCTGAGTAGTCCTTTAGGGTTTAGGGTTTAGGGCTAGTAACCCTGGTAAACCTCAAGGTAGATCTCAAGCACCGACGGTTCTAGCCTCGCTCGCTGACGATGCTGCGCGCATCGTTTGACTCTCCATCCTCCACCTAGTACAGGCACACATACACAAAGACACACACACACACACGGCAGTGAAGGAGGTGCTGATGAGGAGCAGCATGAGTGCAAAGAGGATGAGGACGACAATGTTAATGGGGGCAACGATGCCAGATGGTGCTGCTGTGGTTGTTGATGAAGAGGATGATGACGGTGATGACGAGGGGATCAAGAAGATTGTGAAACACAAACTGGGAATCATGCTGGAGTTGATGGTTCGGTCTCACTCAATACTGAAGGCAACATCCTGTGCCTGGCGGGAGGACCATGTGAAATGGGCAGGATAACAGTTGCCTGAAATCGTGTGGCTTGGGCTTGGCTTTGATGTTTTGCGGGGCTGTAGATATAAGAGAAAACCGAGAAAGGCCGTGTTTTGAATCGGCTGTTGCCAATGCCGATGCCCACCAGTGGCGGCAGCGGCACTCACTCGGAAGACCAACCCTAGACACTCGAAGCCCGAAGCTCATCAAGCGCTGAAAATCGATGCTTACATACCCAGAGAGCCCGACATCCCTTAATTAAGCAATATACCTTAAATTATAGGGGGCTTCATATTATGATTTAAGCCATATTCCTTAATTACGGGGTATTGGGCTCTCTGGGTAGCCTAACCAGCTACAGCCTGAAATTGACGCCACTTTAAATTGACCCTAATCTAGGGGCCTTCATAACTACCTATACTATTTTTATGAAGGGGGTCCTTATTATAGTTATAGCATACTCGGCCACAAAACACCAATCTAATTATTAAGGTCCCTGTATGAAGTTTCAGGCCATATGACACTCTGAAAGCCTCGGGATGCCCAGACAGCATTGGATCCCGCACGGCTCGTCCCGGTTCCCGGCCTCAAGAAGAGAAGCCTGAAGCCAGCGTGTGGACGGCCCGAGCCAGCCGCTGCAGACACACACCTTTCAGACCATGCGACAGGTGAAGTGGCGAAGTCTTGCACACAACAACCGCTCCTATCGTCTACGTTTCGGAAGCATAAGAAGCTGGATGGTGATCTTGACGATGCTGACGTCATGAGCTGCGATGATGCTGTACATGATCATGATGATGATGATGATGATGTTGATGAAGACAGAGAAGAAGATGATGATGATGATGATCCTCGTCCGGGCCTTCATCATGATTCCGCGGCTAGATGCCTTGGCCGTCGTGGTGGCGACGGCCGGTAGGGGTGGGGGTCGGTGATGGTCGCGGAGGTGGCAGTGGCAGTGGCGCTGATGATATTTGTCGTCGGCTTGCTCACCGTTTGTGTCTTCCGCAATCAAGCTTTTAGTTGTGTTGAAGGGTGATGTTTGCTCTGGTTGTCATCGCGGTCAAGATGCATATTCCTTCCGGACTCGCCGGGCAAGAAACTGGAGCTGGGCGAAAAGATAACCTGCGACATGAGATGGTCATCGGTGTTGGAGGGGGCTTCGGCGCATGACTTAAGATCCAAGCTGAAGCATGTTCACAGTGCCCTTGTACTGTAAGAAGGGAATCTGGCAAAGCATAGGGGGTTCCGGGTTTCAGTCTTGCAGAGCCAGAACAACTTCATAGGACTTGGCTCTGAGCGCGCTAGGCATCCTTCCCAAAGACTCCAATATCCCTTAATTAAGGAATATACCTTAAACTATAATAGGGTCCTTCATAGGATCCTTAATATGAACAAAACGCATATTCCTTAATTAAGGGATATTGGAGTCTCTGGGTTCACGCTTTTCGCTATGTGCGATTTAGCCATTAGCTGCAGAGTTGACACCAAGCCCCAAACCTCCAACTTTAATCCGACCAAACCTCACCGCCTGAAAGCGCAGCCTTTACAACCATGCCAAGCACGTTGGGGGTGAGGGATGGGGGTCAAATTCAAGGGGTTTCAAGTTCAGGGTTCAGTATTGTGGGTTTACGGCTCAGGATTCGAACCTTTGGCTTTGAAGCTCGATTTGCTTCATCCCTGCAACCACTTGGAGGATCATGGGACTTAGAAAGTAAGGTTATAAGTACCTTAATTTGGGTTATAAGTATAGGTACCCTAAATACAACCCTAGTTACTAAGTCCCAGGATCCTTTAAGCAGTTTTCCCCAAGCGCGAGTTACACTGCCACCCGCCTTTGTACGACTTGGCGCAAAGCACCGCTCCGGAGGTATTCACATCCAGTCCTCGTCTTCCAAAACTTACCTTTGGTTAGTAGGGAATGGAAGAATGGTAGTAATACTGTTGATGATATAAATCTTGCATTACCCATAATAAGGAATATACCATAATTCTTATAGTTTAGGGTCCTGAAGGTCATGCAGGATTTCCATCATCAACCGTAGTAGTTATAATTGTACCCCATTCCTCCATTCCCTACTAATTAACTAAAGGTAAGTAAAGCAGCCCGAACCCAAATGGGTAGTTGTCGGAGGCAGAGTCCCTCTCAGGGTCTTTCTTATCCGGGCGGCCGTACTTTGAATATTTTCTGGTGCAGAAACAAGGAACACAGAGAATTACCCAACTGCAAGAAGTCTGGAAAGACTCGAAGACCTCAACTGCAAGGCTTAGGGTTTAGGGAGCCTCAATTTCAAAGGCCATAGTCAAGCTTGCTCGAGCTCTGTTCATGAGCCCGAATCCCGAAGTTAGACTTGTTTGAAAAACCGGTTTTTCATGTTACCAGTACTCTTGTGAATAGTTTTTACACTTATTATTATTGTTGTTATTGTTATGATGTTTATCACTATTGGTTTTATTGCTTCTGCTCGGCGTGAAGTGCCGGGTGTGCTGTTTCTGCTCGTCGCCCTGCTTTTTGCTGCTGCCGCCTCCAACGGAATCTCTTCATCTTAGACCCTAAGGCCCCATAGAACCCTTATAGGAACCTGAAAGGAACCCCTTGTGGAACCCTTATGCACGTTCTTTGCGAGCGGCGGTGCACAATGCCATGCTGGGCAGACTCGTCCAACATAATCGGGAACCTTGTCTGAAGAAGCGGCAGCGAGTTTTTCTTGGCGCACAGGGCGAGCAAGCTCTGCAATGCTGACTGGGCCGTGCTATGGAAGTTTCCGTAAGATGTCTCTGCCAGCACTAGGGCCGCACTTGGTTTAACTGCTGTTGGCTTTGGACGGAAGCTGTTGTTGTTTGCATTTCGACGACTGGGGTGGGGTCTAGATCCGTCTAGCCTGCAGCTTGACATGCCAACATCCGCATGACTATAACATAATTGTAGGCCAACTCGTTGCCGGAGAAGTGTGACTATACTCGGAGATTCTGCTCCAACCTGGCCTTCTGCAAAAAAACAAATGCAAGCGTGGGCACTTTAAGGTAGTTCAGATCGACTGGTAATCAGGGTCCCTGATGAGATCCACAACTGCACCTTCCAGTCTTATAGGAAGGACCCCGAAAACGACCCTAACTTCAACGAGGCCTTCGTCCCAGGTGGGTAGTTCTCTAAGCTAGGGTCCCTTCTAGGTTTCGTTTGTTTTTAAAGTTTTAGCCTTCTGTACAGGTTCCGAAAAAGGGGCCCTAATTTAGAGGACTATAGAACCCTTCATAGACCCCTGGTTTGAAAATACCCTCCCTCCATGTGTCGACGACGGCCCTCGCCCTCGTCGCTATCCTTACCTTTGGGTAGTCGGGAATGGAGGAATACGGTACAATTAAAACTACTATTACTACCATTCTTCCATTCCCGACTAACCAAAGGTAAGACCTCACCTACTAAGTCCCATGGTCCTCCATTCTAGAAACCTTATAGATCCCTTCAAGGATCCCTTTAAGGAAGCCTATAGGTACCCTTACTTAAAGGAACTATATACTAAGTCCCATGATCCTCCAAGTATCAGCCAGGGAGCTTCTCGCCCCAGTGCTTCATCAGCCACTCCTGGGCTCCAGGGGCCCTTGGCCTTTAAAGCTTTAGAAGCATGGGTTATAAGGTTCCTTTAAAGGGTCCCCTAAAAAGGATCTATATGGATTCTATAGGGTTTAGGCTCTGCTTGAAAGTTGCATGGGTAGTTATAAGTGGAGTTTAGGTTTCCTTTAACGGTTCTGTAGGGTTTAGGGCTCTTTGAAGGCTTCTGCAAGGTCTAGGGTTTATACGTCCCCTACTGCGGGTTGTAATTAAATCCTATATAATTATAATTCGACGTGATTTTCGGAACCAGCAAAAAGGCCAAAACCCTTCGGAGCCCGACCTTGAATAGGGTTTCGGGCTGCCAGTCTCCGCGACATGTCGCCATGTCGTGCTGCGAGTCCATAACAGCCAACGCATCCGATGGCTGAATGAATCTAAAAAGCGCTTGCGGATGGGTCTCTGGCCGGCAGTCTTCGTTTTAGTTGCGAGGCTGGAAAGGCTACAAACATTCGGATGCACACGCCGTAGGTGTTGCGTTTCAGGTCGGACCCGATCCAGCTCAAACACCCACTTTACACTGACCCCGAATCTCACCCTCAACGACCAAAGCCCGACCGCCGTCAAGCGACAACTGCATAGCCGCCCGATTGGACAGATAGACAAAGAGGCCACAGGATATACGTAAAGTTAACTTACGCACCAGTGGGGCTCACTGCAGGGCAGGAGCTTTCGCTGATTCTGATGGGAAATTACCGAGGCAACTGCAGGCACCGAAAACTTTAAATAAACACATGCGGCATCCCTGTCAAGCGTCTTGCAAATGCTTTCCAGAGGTCAATGTCCGGACTTCCTGCAAAAGGTGCAAACAAGGCAACAGTCTTCGAACTGCATATGTTTCAAATATTCTGAACCCAAAAGTGTAGCATTAAAAAGCTTAGGTGCCTTATGACCGCGGGTCATATGTATATATATATATATATATATATATATATATATGTATATATACACATCTAACTCTGTATAATTACTATGGATGCCGTAGCCCTGAGAACTACCTGCAGGCCCTAAACCCCACAACAACATAGTAGGTCCTAAATCTCCGGGCATTGGGTTCACTGTTTAAGGTATATACGCAGAAACGTTGGATCCACGGTTAGGGTTTCAGACTTGTGGGTTTCAGATTTGTGGGATGTCTCGAACCCTAAACCCTAAACCCTGGTGTAGAAGGCCCCAAAAAGCACACAAGCAAAAATTGGGATAGGGATATCCCATATAAATCCCCTTATAATGAAGCCCAATCAGGTAGGGATATCCCCATACAGTGCTTATGCTTATGTGCTTTTTGGGTACCTAATAGGTTCTTGGAGGTTTGCTGCCCAAGGTCTCGTAAATTTTAGGGGTGAGGTTGCTGAGGGGGTGGCGTCAAACCCTAAACCCTAAAAGCCCAAAACCCTGAACATCACGTCTTCAGGGTTGTTGCGCTTAAAAACAGGGCTGAGGAGTTTTTGTGTGCGATTTCGGGTGCAGAAGGTTGGCTTATGGGTTCGGCTTTAAGGTTTGGCGTAGCTATCATGGGACTACAACCGTAGCTCGATGTTACAGCGAAACCCAAATCCACGAGGTCGTCTGCATCAACACTTTTTGTGAGTAGCGATGAATGCTATCCCAATCCCGTCAAAGCTTGTCTTGCCACCGGCCAGGAGTAATTCCGATGCAAAGGCATCTGACGAGCCCATATCTTAAAGCAAAGCTGCCTCGACCTACACCAGCGCATCTCTTCCTCTCTCTGTCTTCTTCTCTGTCATGCCCCAAACCCTATACCCTGAACTGTAAGATTTGGGCTCGAGTGAAGCCGCCGCTCCAAGCGATACAAGCACTCGGCTGATTCATTGGAGCAAAACTGTAACTACGAGGATACTTAAAATCCTTGGTGCGAAAAAGCCAAGATTGCACAGTCGACCAGGCTGGCTAGCTACATAGGGATCTCGTGATAACCCCAAGCTCCAGCTTGTCGGTAGTGACAAAGAGAAACTGGCTGCCAATTCACATTAGTGATGGCGGCGATGGGGCCTGCCACCGTCGTCCTTGCGCCCACGGCGACCATCCTTGTCGTCGTCCTTCTTGCCATCGTCATCCTTGCGGCCACGGCGACCATCCTTGTCGTCATCCTTCTTGCCATCGTCATCCTTGCGGCCACGGCGACCATCCTTGTCGTCATCCTTCTTGCCATCGTCATCCTTGCGGCGGCGGCGGCCTCCATCCTTGTCGTCATCCTTCTTGCCATCGTCATCCTTACGGCCACGGCGACCATCCTTGTCGTCATCCTTCTTGCCATCGTCATCCTTGCGGCGGCGGCGGCCTCCATCCTTGTCGTCATCCTTCTTGCCATCGTCATCCTTGCGGCCACGGCGACCATCCTTGTCGTCATCCTTCTTGCCATCGTCATCCTTGCGGCGGCGGCGGCCCCCATCCTTGTCGTCATCCTTCTTGCCATCGTCATCCTTGCGGCCACGGCGACCATCCTTGTCGTCGTCCTTCTTGCCATCGTCATCTTTGCGGCGGCGGCGACCATCCTTGTCGTCATCCTTCTTGCCATCGTCATCCTTGCGGCCACGGCGACCATCCTTGTCGTCATCCTTCTTGCCATCGTCATCCTTGCGGCGGCGGCGACCACCATCCTTGTCGTCGTCCTTCTTGCCATCGTCATCCTTGCGGCCACGGCGACCATCCTTGTCATCATCCTTCTTGCCATCGTCATCCTTGCGGCGGCGGCGGCCCCCATCCTTGTCGTCGTCCTTCTTGCCATCGTCATCCTTGCGGCCACGACGACCATCCTTGTCGTCGTCCTTGCGACCGCGGCGACCATCCTTGTCGTCGTCCTTCTTACGACGGCGCCGGCGACCGTCCTTGTCATCCTTCTTGTCGTCATTGTCATCATCGTCATCTTTCTTGGGAGGATACACAGGGGTCGTGGTCTCTTCTTCCTCTGTTGTCGTCTTGTACTGCTTCTCTGTCGTCGTGGGCTCCTCGGTCGTGGTTGTTGGCTCCTCGGTGGTGGTCGTGGGCTCCTCCGTGGTGGTCGTGGGCTCTTCCGTGGTCGTGGTCGTGGGTTCCTCGGTGGTGGTCGTCGGTTCTTCCGTGGTTGTGGTCTTCTCGGTGGTCGTCTTGTAGTCCGGTGGCGAACCACATTCATCACAGTACTCCTTCAAGGCATCTGCGATGACATGCACATTGTCGAGGCACTTAGGCATGCAGAAGTCTTTGGGCGAGTTCAATCCATCGCAGAACTTGCCGCAAACTGCCTTCTCGTCAAGGCAATCGGTCGTGGCATTGACCTGGGTTAAAGCCAGGCGGCCTTGTTGGGGCCTCTGCAACAAGCCGATCGCTTCGGTCTCCTGGATGAAGCAAGTGTTCTTGGAGCAAAAATCCTGGCCGGCCGCAACCATGCTCTCAGCAACAGCCTTTTGCCTGGTGCAATCATGGGAGTTTCCAAAAATTAGGGGTACCTTATTTTGGGGGTCCTTATAATAAGGATCCTACTACTTGGGGCACTATTTTTTAGGATTCCCCCATTTTGCCTGGTGCAATGCTTTGCGACGCACCAGTTTGCTTTTTGGCCTTTGCCTCCGAGCATGCCTTGACTGCAGACGATTCTGCACACCCATGCCGCCCCATCGCACTGACGCTCCTTGGCTGACTTCTGAACCCCTCCTAGAAGTTAAACTTTTAGCCTCCTTATTACAATAGTTCATATAGAAACCCAAAAAATTAAAGTCTAAAGAGCCAGCCAGAAGAACGCCAAGGCTCGTGCACCGGGATGACAATCCCAGCCCAAGCTGGCAAAACCAGAGAGCACAGAAGGATGATCCGATGCTGCGCCATGGCTGGGTAGCAAGTCTGATGCGGACTGTGCTGATCTTGGGCCTTAGCCAACAGTTTGTGAATCATCTTTGCTGGGCTGCGCAGCTTGGGTCTACATGGGTCCGGGTTTCGGCTATGGCGGCTTTTGGGGCAAGTTGTGCCCTTTATTTGGAAGATAGAGGCGGTGCGCAAATGAGGCTGCAAGGACTGTGCACGGGCTACCCCCGCCTCCGCTTCCCTCCTTTCTTTCGCCTGCCAGAGCAAGTGCTCGGTTTTTGGACTTTCGAGGCTTCTTGCGGGCTTAGCGTTGGTGAGGGTTTCGGGCGAAATCGTCGACTCATCAGCAGCAGAGTTCGACGTACCTAAACCCGGGAGAACATAAACATGATAACGATAACTTAGTTGTCTGATTTGGGGTCAGAGACAACCATACTTACAAAGTCCCCTGACGCTCAAACACCCACTTTACACTGACCCCGAATCTCACCCTCAACGACCAAAGCCCGACCGCCGTCAAGCGACAACTGCATAGCTGCCCGATTGGACAGATAGACAAAGAGGCCACAGGATATACGTAAAGTTAACTTACGCACCAGTGGGGCTCACTGCAGGGCGGGAGCTTTCGCTGATTCTGATGGGAAACTACCGAGGCAACTGCAGGCACCGAAAACTTTAAATAATCACATGCGGCATCCCTGTCAAGCGTCTTGCAAATGCTTTCCAAAGGTCAATGTCCGGACTTCCTGCAGAAGGTGCAAACAAGGCAACAGTCTTCGAACTGCATATGTTTCAAATATTCTGAACCCAAAAGTGTAGCATTAAAAAGCTTAGGTGCCTTATGACCGCGGGTCATATGTGTGTGTATATATATATATATATATATATATTTATTTATGTTTTTATGTATTTATGTATATATACACATCTAACTCTGTATAATTACTATGGATGCCGGAGCCCTGAGAACTACCTGCAGGCCCTAAACCCCACAACAACATAGTAGGTCCTAAATCTCCGGGCATTGGGTTCACTGTTTAAGGTATATACGCAGAAACGTTGGATCCACGGTTAGGGTTTCAGATTTGTGGGTTTCAGATTTGTGGGATGTCTCGAACCCTAAACCCTAAACCCTGGTTTAGAAGGCCCCAAAAAGCACACAAGCAAAAATTGGGATAGGGATATCCCATAAAAATCCCCTTATAATGAAGCCCAATAAGGTAGGGATATCCCCATACAGTGCTTATGCTTATGTGCTTTTTGGGTACCTAATAGGTTCTTGGAGGTTTGCTGCCCAAGGTCTCGTAAATTTTGGGGGTGAGGTTGCTGAGGGGGTGGCGTCAAACCCTAAACCCTAAAAACCCAAAACCCTGAACATCACGTCTTCAGGGTTGTTGCGCTTAAAAACAGGGCTGAGGAGTTTTTGTGTGCGCTTTCGGGTGCAGAAGGTTGGCTTATGGGTTCGGCTTTAAGGTTTGGCGTAGCTATCATGGGACTACAACCGTAGCTCGATGTTGCAGCGAAACCCAAATCCACGAGGTCGTCTGCATCAACACTTTTTGTGAGTAGCGATGAATGCTATCCCAATCCCGTCAAAGCTTGTCTTGCCACCGGCCAGGAGTAATTCCGATGCAAAGGCATCTGACGAGCCCATATCTTAAAGCAAAGCTGCCTCGACCTACACCAGCGCATCTCTTCCTCTCTCTGTCTCCTTCGCTGTCCTGCCCCAAACCCTATACCCTCAACTGTAAGATTTGGGCTCGAGTGAAGCCGCCGCTCCAAGCGATACAAGCACTCGGCTGATTCATTGGAGCAAAACTGTAACTACGAGGATACTTAAAATCCTTGGTGCGAAAAAGCCAGGGTGGCACAGTCGACCAGGCTGGCTAGCTACATAGGGATCTCGTGATAACCCCAAGCTCCAGCTTGTCGGTAGTGACAAAGAGAAACTGGCTGCCAATTCACATTAGTGATGGCGGCGATGGGGCCTGCCACCGTCGTCCTTGCGCCCACGGCGACCATCCTTGTCGTCGTCCTTCTTGCCATCGTCATCCTTGCGGCCACGGCGACCATCCTTGTCGTCATCCTTCTTGCCATCGTCATCCTTGCGGCCACGGCGACCATCCTTGTCGTCATCCTTCTTGCCATCGTCATCCTTGCGGCGGCGGCGGCCTCCATCCTTGTCGTCATCCTTCTTGCCATCGTCATCCTTACGGCCACGGCGACCATCCTTGTCGTCATCCTTCTTGCCATCGTCATCCTTGCGGCGGCGGCGGCCTCCATCCTTGTCGTCATCCTTCTTGCCATCGTCATCCTTGCGGCCACGGCGACCATCCTTGTCGTCATCCTTCTTGCCATCGTCATCCTTGCGGCGGCGGCGACCCCATCCTTGTCGTCATCCTTCTTGCCATCGTCATCCTTGCGGCCACGGCGACCATCCTTGTCGTCATCCTTCTTGCCATCGTCATCCTTGCGGCGGCGGCGGCCTCCATCCTTGTCGTCATCCTTCTTGCCATCGTCATCCTTGCGGCCACGGCGACCATCCTTGTCGTCATCCTTCTTGCCATCGTCATCCTTGCGGCGGCGGCGACCACCATCCTTGTCGTCGTCCTTCTTGCCATCGTCATCCTTGCGGCCACGGCGACCATCCTTGTCATCATCCTTCTTGCCATCGTCATCCTTGCGGCGGCGGCGGCCCCCATCCTTGTCGTCGTCCTTCTTGCCATCGTCATCCTTGCGGCCACGACGACCATCCTTGTCGTCGTCCTTGCGACCGCGGCGACCATCCTTGTCGTCGTCCTTCTTACGACGGCGCCGGCGACCGTCCTTGTCATCCTTCTTGTCGTCATTGTCATCATCGTCATCTTTCTTGGGAGGATACACAGGGGTCGTGGTCTCTTCTTCCTCTGTTGTCGTCTTGTACTGCTTCTCTGTCGTCGTGGGCTCCTCGGTCGTGGTTGTTGGCTCCTCGGTGGTGGTCGTGGGCTCCTCCGTGGTGGTCGTGGGCTCTTCCGTGGTCGTGGTCGTGGGTTCCTCGGTGGTGGTCGTCGGTTCTTCCGTGGTTGTGGTCTTCTCGGTGGTCGTCTTGTAGTCCGGTGGCGAACCACATTCATCACAGTACTCCTTCAAGGCATCTGCGATGACATGCACATTGTCGAGGCACTTAGGCATGCAGAAGTCTTTGGGCGAGTTCAATCCATCGCAGAACTTGCCGCAAACTGCCTTCTCGTCAAGGCAATCGGTCGTGGCATTGACCTGGGTTAAAGCCAGGCGGCCTTGTTGGGGCCTCTGCAACAAGCCGATCGCTTCGGTCTCCTGGATGAAGCAAGTGTTCTTGGAGCAAAAATCCTGGCCGGCCGCAACCATGCTCTCAGCAACAGCCTTTTGCCTGGTGCAATCATGGGAGTTTCCAAAAATTAGGGGTACCTTATTTTGGGGGTCCTTATAATAAGGATCCTACTACTTGGGGCACTATTTTTTAGGATTCCACCATTTTGCCTGGTGCAATGCTTTGCGACGCACCAGTTTGCTTTTTGGCCTTTGCCTCCGAGCATACCTTGACTGCAGACGATTCTGCACACCCATGCCGCCCCATCGCACTGACGCTCCTTGGCTGACTTCTGAACCCCTCCTAGAAGTTAAACTTTTAGCCTCCTTATTATAGTTCATATAGAAACCCCAAAAGTTAAAGTCTAAAGAGCCAGCCAGAAGAACGCCAAGGCTCGTGCACCGGGATGACAATCCCAGCCCAAGCTGGCAAAACCAGAGAGCACAGAAGGATGATCCGATGCTGCGCCATGGCTGGGTAGCAAGTCTGATGCGGACTGTGCTGATCTTGGGCCTTAGCCAACAGTTTGTGAATCATCTTTGCTGGGCTGCGCAGCTGGGGTCTACATGGGTCCGGGTTTCGGCTATGGCGGCTTTTGGGGCAAGTTGTGCCCTTTGGAAGATAGAGGCGGTGCGCAAATGAGGCTGCAAGGACTGTGCACGGGCTACCCCCGCCTCCGCTTCCCTCCTTTCTTTCGCCTGCCAGAGCAAGTGCTCGGTTTTTGGACTTTCGAGGCTTCTTTGGCGGCTGCGGGCTTAGCGTTGGTGAGGGTTTCGGGCGAAATCGTCGACTCATCAGCAGCAGAGTTCGACGTACCTAAACCGGGGAGAACATAAAAATGATAACGATAACTTAGTTGTCTGATTTGGGGTCAGAGACAACCATACTTACAAAGTCCCCTGACTCTCAAAAGTACAGCTGCACCCAGATTTTTTGCTGGCTATGTCCATCCCTAGCCCGAAACGTTGAAACGGCAGCCTTCTTCTGGTCCAAATCGTCGAAGCTGACGGAGACGTTCCAGCCAGGAGGCTTGTGCACTACGAAGACGTCCCCTGTACTCGACACGCGTTGGTTGGTGGTTGGCTTGCGCCCGAAAAAAGGTCCGCAAAATGATACAAGGGAAGTGAACATCTTGGTCTTACGATGCACCGAGCCGTGGATGCCGGTCTAGGTTTCAGACTTCTTGTTCTGCATTGGCTTGCCATTGACCTGTTACGGTCTGTAAGCATTTGAAATTGTCTTGCCTTTGACTGACGCTGCGATGGAAAGACTTCCGTGTTTCATGGCGCACGACAAACAATCTACGGGATCCAAGCCGTCGCCCATCGCCAGTTAGCCAGTCCTGATTCCTAAGCTGGGTCACTGCGAATGATATTGATGTGTAGTTCCTGCAGTTCTTCTGCATTTGTATGCAGGGCGCCTGCATGGAGTGCATGATGCGCACCAGCACCCTGAACCCTCAAAGCCCCTGAATTTTCAGAACATCCTGCACCCTAAGCCCTATAAGCCCTATAAAACCTAAAACCCCTAAACCCTAAACCCAAACCCCCTAAACCCTTGACCACAATAAGCTTCACACTACCCTAGTTAAGGATATAAGGACAGGCGTTTGGACCAAAGGTTTCGGGTTGTGGGCCCTAAAACAGATGTCCCACAACCCGGGCTTCTATACACCATAAGCCCAAAAGTTGGAAACCCCATAGCCTCAACCCTTAAGAGTAATGTATAGGGAATCCCAGCACTACCCGGCCTGAATCCTGTTTCCAACTTTATGGGGTTTACTGTAAAGCACTACACCAGATCGGTGGTTGTCAAAATTACGGTCCCTTTTTGGGGTCCCTAATATAATACCACCTACTATTCAGGGTGCCCCAAAAAAGGGGGACCCTAATTTTGACAACTACCCAATTATGAAAGCTCTGAAGGCCCCCTATAGTAGGATCCTTCTTATAAGGGCCCCAAAATAAGGTACCCCTAATTTTGAGAACTACCCATATAGAATATAGAACCCTATTATAGATCCCTTATAGAACCCTTTACGGATCCCACTTGTTGGGTACCCCAAAATAAGGTACCCCTAATTTTGAGAACTGCCCAAATCTCTTATCCACCTCGATCGAAGAGAATGGACGGCTGCACGCCGTCTCTGCCTTCGGATTCGGGCTCCAAGTGCATAACATCGGGGCCTTAATGAGTAGGGGACCCTTAGAGTTCCTTTAAAGGGTACCATAAGGGCTCCTTTAAGGGATCTATAGGGTTCTATTAAGGGTTTAGGGTTTAGGGTTTGGGAGTTTCCGAAAATAGGGGACCCAACTATAGTACCCTACCTAAAATAGTAGGATCCTTATTAAAAGAGCCCCAAATAAGGTACCCCTAATTTTCGGAAACTCCCATACCGGGGCCTTAATGAGTGGAGTAGGGCCCTTTCAAGGGTTCTTTTAAAAAGGGTTCTATACGGGGTTACTTTAAGGGCTCCTTTAAAGGGTTCTAGAAGGGGTTACAGTTACTACGAGGGTTCAATATCGGGGCCTTAATGAGTGGAATAGGGTCCCTCTAAGGGTTCCTTTAAAGGGCTCTATAAGGGGTTATTATGAGGGTTTAGCATAGGGACCTTAATGATTGGAATAGGGTCCCTTTAAGGGTTCGTTTAAAGGGTTCTATAAGGGGTTACTGTAGTTACTATGAGGGTTTAGTATAGGGGCCTTAGTTAATAATTAGAACAGGGTTTTGGGGCCCACTATACTATATCTATAACAAGGAACCCCAAAATAGTATATAGGTAATTATTGAGGACCCTATACTAGTGTAGGTTCAATCAGCAGGGTTGAGCGGCCCGAATTCAGGGATTACGCCAAGCCTTCGACCCCTCACCTTAAGCCCTGAAGGGTCTGAAAGCAGCACGTATTGAGCTGCAACGCCGGGGATTACCGAAGCGAGGTTCACTTCGGGGTGCATGTTGTTTCTTCGGAGAGCACAAGTTAGGAACCCACAGTGACATACCGCGTGTCTACAGACTTGAAGGCTTTGCGGAGTAACGAGAGATGAGGCACACTCGCCACTCGCCACTAAAGAAAAGCCCAATATCCGAAGCAGCCAGGTGGAATCGAACGGGCAAGGCGCAATATAGGCCTTCGTCTAAGTATAGTCTTTAATTACAGTAATTACATGGAGAACCGCGGAATTGATGTGATCTCTGGACTCTTGCCTTGCCCTGTCCGAAGCCACGCACTAAACTGCACACCTCGAAGTCCAAATCGCGCAAACCCTGAACCTGTAACCCCAGGGTATTCTACCTAAACTCACCCCGTGACCGTATACCGTGAACCCTAAGCCGCTCACGCAACAGACCCGCCCGAAAACAACCCTAAACCCCAAAAGCCTTGCAGCTAAGCTTACTTCACCAATAAGCCAGGGAAACAAAAGGTTAAACTTTTAGATTACTACTAAAATGTATAAAGCCAAAAAGTTTAAAGGTTGGGTATTGGCGAGCTAAGTAAGTTTTATTGGAACCCAAAGGAACCCTTAAAAAGAACCCCGCAAAGCAGCCCATAACGGAACCCTTTAGAGAACGCCCCCAGGAGCCCATGAAGGAACCATGAAGAGCTAATACAAGGTATATATACGCCTGAATGACCCTATAGTACCCTTATACGAGCCCCTTTAAAGGGGCCCTCGTAGATCTCATAAAGGAACCCTTAGAACCCTATAAACCCAATACCATCTAAAGCCTAAACCCTGAAACCCCGAAACCCTAGGTACCCTTAAAAGGGCCACAGAGGTCCCTGCACCCGAGCACTTTCGGGCACCTTGGATCCGCTTCTCCAGAGGCTCGAGAGGACCAGGAGAATCCAAAGCCTGCTCTTGGGGGTGTATGAGGGGTTGAGGGTTTAGGGGTTTGGGGTTTCGGGTTTTAGGGTGTAGGGAACTTAGAGCTTCAGAAGTTTAGGGTTTGGGGAACAACGTAGGGTTTAGGTTTCTAAAAAGGGTGCAGAGGGACTTTGGGTTGAGGGTTTAGGGAACTTAGGGTTTAGGGAACGTTAGGGTTTATGGAACTTAGGGAACTTGGCAACTTGGGGTTCAGTGAACTTAGGGTTCAGGGAACGGTACGTAGGGTTTAGGGTTTAGGATTTAGGGCTTGACGGTTCAGGTTTTACGGATAGGGGTGTAGTGTTTTTAATGTTTGGGGTTTAGCGTTCCGAGTTTTGGGGCTTGAGGAGGTTTTGGATCTTGGCATTTTGGGGTTCAGAGCTCCGGAATGTTTCTATAGTCTCCCTAGGAATTTGTTTATATTTTTGTTCATATTAAACCCACGAGAATATTGAAATATATTATTTTATTGTGGTTCTAAGGGGGCTATAGGTTTCGCTTTTAGGCTGCCGGGTGTTGGCTTACTGCTGGCGAGAAGCTTCCGAGAGCTGCTGAAGGACTGCCACGGCCGCTTCGTGGAGTCCCTCCGTCAGCGTGCTGTAATTCCTTGTCGCTACCCGCCGCTAAGGCTTCGTTCGGGTTAAGGGGGACCCTTTGGGGATATAGACCCTCTCACTAAGGTCCCTTTAAGAGAGCCAGAGGTAGGATTAAGAAGGGTCCCCTTGAAGGGGTCTCACTATTACTGCCTGGGATCATGAGAGTCTACGTAGCTCCCAGGGCCCTGGACATCGAGTTGACTCGGCCCTAGAGACTACTTCGCAGAAAGGTGCTTGAGCAGACACCTTCCGATGAGCCCGAACATCTGGGTTCGGTCAAACCTGTATGAGACTTGAGGACCTGGGTACCCGGGCTTCGAGGTTTCGTTTTGGGAGAATCCGAAAATAAGGTGCCCAAAAGTTTTCGGAAACTTCCATTTGGGTGGCCAGAGCCTTCTCTCCATGTTCGGCTGCTGTGCAGACGAGCCGCGCGAAGGCATGGACCAGGCCGCAAACCTTCAGGGCGACAACCCTAAACACTAGAAAGGGCTTTGGGACTGGGAGTGCTACTGAGCCCCCTCAGTTCATATAGCTAGGACCCTGACCGACAACATGGAATCGAGCTCTGGGGCCACATAACTACTGCTCCTACTACCACTACTACTACTACTACTACTACTACTACTACTACTACTACTACTACTACTACTACTACTACTACTACTGCTACTACTACTACTACTACTACGACGACGACGACTACAGCTCCTGCTCCTGCCACTGCCACTACTTTACTACTACTACTACTACTACTCCTCCTCCTCCTCCTCCTACTAATACTACTACTACTACTGATGAGACTGACTTTCACAATCATAACTCTAGTAAGAATGTTAAACACGCTTGCAGGCCTCATCCCTTACCAGTGACTGTACGTTGGAATAGTCGGCGAGCACGGAGAGCTTCCTTGGGAGTGCTGAGAGTTTTTTTTTTGAGCGGGTGTCCGGGTCTAGGGGTGTGTTTTAGGAACAGAACCCAGGATATATAGCCGAAGCTTCAGACTGATCGACGCTGTAGAGTCTTGAGTATAGGGTTAATGGTTAATGGTAAAGATGCCACGGCCAGACTGCCTAAACCCTATACACACTATAAACCCACTAAGCCCTAATCCTTAAATCCTGACATCGAAACCGCGGTGAGAGAGACCACAGCAGTGGCCGAACGAAGCATCACGCCCACAGCTAGAACTGTAGTAATGTGGGGGCTTGAACAATTAGAAGAGGGTTTCGGGCTGAGTTTAAAGGTTCATTAAGGGACCTATAAGATAGGGGCCTGAATAATTGTAATAGGGTTTGAGCGTATATTACGGTATACTTATAAGCAGGAAACCCGAATATAGTATGGGTATTTATTTAGGCCACTATAGTGAGAGTAAGACCGTCGTAGTCCAGAGCAGGCTCTTTTTGGTTAATGGCTTTAGCCGTTCAGGGTGTAGGGCTTCAGGGTTTGAGGGTTTCAGTGGCTATGGTTTAGGCATGTTTAGGCTATAACTAGCAAAGACTTGCATCCGTGCTCAACACCACGCTAAACCCTAATCACCACATCCCATACCCTCATGTAAATCCCAGCTTCATGTCGTTCTTCTTCGTGTTTGGCCTCTGTGTCGGATTTATTAGGTATAGAAACAAGGCAACGAGTTCACGACAAACAGAGCTGCCATTGCTACAGTCGAGGGATGTTGAGGGTCTGGACAACCTGTCTGCAATGCCATAGCACCCCCGTATAAATGAACAAAAGAAGAGATATAAACAATATGAAACATACATAAGTATGTATATGCATATAGACTCATTCCACAAGACAAGCCCTACCCTAAACCCTAAACCCTAAGCCCTAAACCCTAAGCCCTAAAACCCTGAAACAAAGTTATTGGACCAAAGCTCTGCTGCACCAGAGCACCAGCTGCGTAGATCTGCGCCTCCCCAGCTCCTCAACCGGTTAGTCAGAGAGCCCAATGCACCTTAATGAATATAGCTCAAATCATAATATGAAGCCCCTGATAATTTAAGGTATATTGCTTAATTGAGGGTTGTTGGGCTCTCTGGGTATGGTTTAAGGTGTAGGGGATAAGGGCCAGGGCTTATCGGTTTAGGGTTCAGCTTGGTTCTTGTTAGGGAACTTGGTTTAAGATAACACCATAAGGAAATCAGACTATGTACTTTACTATCGATCCCGACTATGGAGACTTTAGTTAAACTCCTTGACAACGGTGGTTCGCCAGGTGTCATGGGTAGCCGAATGCCGAAGGAAGGGTCAACTCGGGGTGGCTGCAGTTTCCTATGTGGGAGTCTCCGAAAATAGGGGTACCTTATTTAGGGGTCCTTATAATAAGGATCCTACTATTTAGGGTACTAGACTAGGGTCCCCCATTTTCGGAAACTCCCACGTATCCTCTATAGCTCTACCAAGCCAGAATGACAAAAACACACACGGCAGCACATCGACTACAACTAAACTCTGACATGTTGAACGGCGAGAAGTCGAGTGTCGAATCCCACTGCCTCAGACTTCAAAAACCATCACCCACACGTTTCTTTTTTAGGGTTGAGGGTTTAGGGTCTCAACTATGCTGGATTGTTTCTCAGCTTCCCGAACCCGAGACGTTCACCTGTCGTAGAACTCGCCCGTCCTGCCAGCACTGACAGGGAGGGCGCGAACATCTCGCCGGAGCTCGTGGGACTTCGCGCCGTGTTGGTGATGTCCTATGGCGGCTGCAAAACAGGTTTCGAACTGGGATGTACCGTTGTTTAGCCAAAGAGAGCGCGTGTTGGGTGTACAGCAACTATACCACGTGAAACAAGGCTGTAAAACCTCTCGTGATCCCGTAAGCTGATTCCTAGTGCCTAAACTACTAACCTCACCAGACCTGGATCTCAGCTCCGTTGCAACAATCCCCCGGCCCACACACCCCCCGGGCCCCATTAAGCAAACTTGAAGAAGCACAACTATGTCTGGCAAGCTGCATATGCGAATGCATGTACATGTACACGTGTGTGTGTGTATGTGTATATGTGTATCTGTATATATATATATACATATATATAAACATTGAGCACATCGTATGTGTGTGTGTGTGTCTTTCTCTGTCTCTCACCATATACACATATAACTATAAGGCCGAGAGTTCGCGCATGTATGTGTCTAAAGGCCCGTGCATGTGTGTGTGTGTATGTATTTATATACACATGTGGGTGGTTGTCAAAATCATGGTCCCTTTTCGGGTCCTTATTGTAATATGGCATCTAATATTTAGGGTACCCCAAGAAGGGGACCCTAATTTTGACAACCACCCACATGTGTGTAAATTAGGTACGGCCCCCACACAGTAAGAGTCTATAATAGGGCTACTATTAAGGTCTTACTATATCTATATTATGAATATTTTTCAACTATTACCCTAAACCCTAAACCCTAAACCCTAAACCGTGGGGGCCGTACCTAATGTGTAACGTTTTTTGCACCCTGTGGCCTGGGCATTGAGCTCCGAGAGTCTTGGCTTGGCAGCAGCTGCGGGCACCTCGGGGATGATTTTTCTTTTGTTTTTTTTTGCCTGGGTTCTGGTTAACTTAAAATGCCATAACCAATAAAATTAGTCTTGTTAGTTTAAGTCACAATAACCAATAAAATTAGTCTTGTTAATATAAGTTACCATAATCAATAAAATTAGACTATCTACCATAAATCTCTATTGTGCATAGGCTTTTCTTTGAAACTTCTGATAACTTCTCCCAAATCCCGTAACAAGAAAGCAGGTGGAGCCCGGAAAGGCTCAGCTGTACTATCCACAGCAGCGAATTGCTTGTCATTAGAGGCTTGGAAGCAACCAAGGAGACAAAACAAACGTACTTGTTGTTTTCATCATCGCTCCTGTAACGAACATGTATAACAAACAGTGTTCAAGTAGGGTACTCCAGAATGCGGCTCCAAGACGAGGCCGTTCTAAACCCTGGACTCTGTCTAGACCCCCCAGAATCCCGATGGCACCTTCGTCAAGACGCCCTGAACCCTAAACCCTGAAACCCTAAGTTTGTAAACCCTACTTCGAGGATCATGGGACTTAGTAAGTAAGGTTATAAGTACCTTAATTGGGGTCATAAGTATGGTTACCCTAATTATAACCCTAGTTACTAAGTCCCATGATCCTTTAAGTATAAACTCTAAGCCAAGGAGCCGCGAATGCCTGCATGCCGCGCAGCTCGAGACTTGCGAAGGCCCAGGCCTTGCTGCGTCTGAAATATTGCCTAAGGGTCCATGTGCCCACATAGTAGGTACTTAGGCCTTAAATTAAAGGGGTCCCAAAATGGATACTTTAAGGCCTACGTACCTACTACATGGGTACATGGAGCCTTTATGGAATTAGGTCCCAAAAGACCATCCCTATTATGGTTTTGGGAACCTAATTCCAAAATGGTAGTGTATATGGACCCTCTGAGAATATTAGGGGAGTTTGGGCGTTCAGGTTTTTGTTTTAAAGTGCAATGACACTCCTTTCTCCAAAGGCGCAGCGTTAAGGTTTACCGGTTTAAGGTTTAGTGGTTTACGGTCTCAGGGTTTAGGGCTAGGGAAGCTTCTTCGGTGGGTAAGCTACTGGGCTGGCACCTAGGTCTTGGCTTCGCTGCTTCTGCTTTTCGGTTTTACCGCGCTTGTTGGCGTTTTGGGAGACTACCTGAGCTCGTTTTCCCCTTGACTGCTATTTTCACACGCCCTGCAAACAGTGTGTTGTGCTAACGCGCCATTGAGTCAGAAAGAACCTTAAAAGAAGCCCACAACATACCAACACCACGGATTCTAATTGCTTGCTACCATTGCTGTCTTGTTAGGGGATCCAAACCCTGACGTCGGCCAAGCTAAAGTTAAAGAAAGGATGTATACACCCTAAACCTTAAACCCTGAATCCTAAACCCTAAACCCTATACCCTAAACCCTAAACCCTAAAGCCTAAACCCTATACCCTAAACCCATGTTGGTTCAGACGTGTTGATTCTGAAGGCCCTGAGAAGCAACAGGCCTGAGCCGGAGCTCAAACCGAAAGGACCTTTCAACTCCTCAAAAATGGGAGTTTCCGAAAATTAGGGGTACCTTATTTTGGGGATTTGGGGGGTCCTTATAATAAGGATCCGATTTTTTTAGGGTGCCAGGCTCTTTCAAAAAGCCCATGGGGGCGCGTCCCACGCAGTAGTAAGGATCCTTGCAAACCGAATCGGGGTTCATGCAGCAGAGTCTCGACTACGACTCAAATGATCAGTAGTGGAAAGCACTAGTAACCTCAATCAAAACTAACTTCGATATTCAAAGTACTGCTGGTTCATTCCCTCCAGCCTTCCCACAGAGCCCTGATTCATTAGTTGCTGTACTTCCGCAAACACCCTTTTTCATTAGTTGCCGTAGAGCTGCAGTGTTGCAGATGGCTTGGCAGTCGAAGCTGCCGACCGCTACCGGCAGAGAGCCAGCAACCTCACAGGAAGGCGTGTATTCCTGTAAACTATGCTGTAAGATGTTGACTATATAGTATACTATACGACAAGATACTATATTCTACTACTATATTGCGCTTTCTTATATACCCTCACAGGCGAGCGGACTCCGGCTTCAAACGAGCCTTCGCAAAACCCTACCAAAAACCCAAAGCTCAAATAACTTCTAAGCTTCAAGAAAGACCCGATAACAAACCATTGCAGTATGTTAACGTAAGTTGTTTTATTCTATGTTGTGCTTTTATTGTATGATCTTTGACTATATTGCAAAACCCTAAACCCTAAACCCTGAACCCTAAACCCTAAACCCTAAACCCTTTAAAGTATGTTCTTCCCGACCGAAAGCCGCTCCGGTCGAAGGATCGCACTGGCGCCGCAGCGTGGCGGAGGCCCGCAGCGTGCTGGAGGGCTCCTGACACACCAGAGGGGGTTTAGGGGTTTAGGGCTTAGGGCTTAGGGTTTAGGGGTTTAGGGGTTTAGGGCTTAGGGTTTAGGGGTTTAGGGGTTTAGGGGTTTAGGGCTTAGGGTTTAGGGGTTTAGGGGTTTAGACCAGAGGGGGTTTAGGGTTAGACCCAAAATCCTCCACAATTCCCATAAAGTCAAGAGTAGTTTAAGGCTTTATACAGAGGGTTTAGGGTTAAGGAGTTAAGGATAGTAGTAGGGTTTTTGGGTTCAGGGGTTTGGGGGTTTAGGGTTTAGGATCCTCGGGGTCAAGGAATGGGAACTGTGGAGGATTCTGGGCCTAACCCTACTTAAAGGATCATGGGACTTAGTAACTAGGGTCATAATTAGGGTAGCTATACTTATAACCCCGATTAAGGTACTTATAACCTTACTCCTCCAAGTAAACCCTGAACCCTAAACCCCAATTATACTTTAATGTCCTGTGCACGAAGCGATCGCATACGAGTAGTGGCGGCTTCGCCGACCACTGCCGTTGTCGGAGAATCTTCCGACGCGAGGCTGGCTGTGCCTCTCAATTAGGGGTACCTTATTCTGGGCTCCTTATAACTCACTGGCCCAAAAGCCAAGGAAATCAAAGTTGAAACTTTCAGAATCGACTACCTTATAAGAGCCCCAAAAGTTGAAAAGTTGAGTTTACAGCCACGAGAATAAGGATCCAGTATTTAGGGTACTATACTAGGGTCCCCTATCTTCGGGGCTCCGGGTGTTTTAGGGCTTGGGCTTCAGGATTTGAAGTTTATCGAGGCCCTTTTAAACAAATTGGGCTTGCAAGGTTTAGAGTTTACGGACATGCAGCCCGAGCTGCACTCGTTTGTGAGCTGAACCCCGAAACAGAATCTGCATTGCCAAGCCAAGACCGACACCCCGGATTCCAAATTCACAGGCCTGAACCCTCACACAATCCAGAACATAAACCCTAAACCCTGAACCCTAAACAGCCTAAACCCCAGACCCTGAACCCTGAATCTTATAGATCCGTACAGGAACCCTTATAGTACCCTTAAAGGAGCCCCTAAACCCTAAATCCTTAAACCTCTAAGCCGCGTCTATAGGCAAACTTGAAGCCTGAACCCTGAACTCTCTTATGGTAACCCTTACAGTAATACTTCTAGATCCCTTTAAAAGGAACCGCACCCTTGAAACCCTTACCCCGGGTCTCTAGGCAAACCTGAAGCCCCCCCAGGGCGCCTCGGGCGATGTTGCTCAGCGCCTGGCCGGGGGTGCTCTTTGGGATCTTTTTGGGACATTCTCTGTCGGGCCTTAATACTTGGAGGATCAGGGGACTTAGTAGTTCCTTTAAGGGTACTACAGGGGTCCTTAAAGGAATCCTTAAAGGGATCTATAAGGGTTCTATAATGGAGGATCATGGGACTTAGTAAGTAAGGTTTTAAGTACCTTAATTGGGTTATAAGTATAGCTACCCTGTTTATAACCCTAGTTACTAAGTCCCATGATCCTTTAAGTAAAAGGGGAGAGGGTTCCTTTAAAGGGCTCTATAAGGACTACGATAAGGGGGTACTATATCTACGAAGCACCAGGCAGTTATCATGTCGAACTGTCGAGCAGCTGAGAATTTGAACCTGAGATCACAATCCCAACACTTCAAACAGGGTGCTACGTTGTTTCCAAGAGTCCTTCAGCCTGGCTACGGGCCACAGCGCACAAGTGGCAGGGTTTTCATGCCTAGGGTTTCGAGTTGCAGTTCCTTCACCATGTGGGTGGTTGTCAAAATTAGGGCCCTTTTTGGGTCCCTAATATAGCACGGCACCTAATATTTAGGGTACCCAAAAATGGACCATACTTTTGTGTAGCTCTCCTGTGCCGGGCCCTGCTTGCCGCCTGTGGAGTGAGCGCTGTGCGGAGTCGGATGCCCTGGCGCTGCACGGCGTCCATCGATGAAACATCGGATGCCAGCAACGTCGCAGGCGCCTCGAAGGGAGGAATCCGAAATCTTCAACTGCATTCGGAATGGCAGTGAGGGGCCCTAACCATCCGGAACCAAGATGGGAAGCCCAAACATCCAGAACCAAGGTCGTAAAACCAAGGAACAGATGTCTTTCAGTTGCATCTCAGAACGACCGTCCCAGGGTGTCCAGGTCCCGGGTCTATCAGCTCCGCTTGCGATGCTATGATCCCGAGACACCCCAATGCTTGCAAAGAAATCTGCTCATGCAAGGAAGAAGCCGTACAGAATATATAAGCAGCTGCTAAAATCGCCGCCTTCAGACGCGAAATATGATTCACCCCTGGCGCACGGAATACCGCTCACTCTCAGACATGCATGCATCTATTTGCAGAGGCTGTGAACAAGCACCTGCACCACGTTGGAGGCGTCCTCGCAATGGCGATCAAGTTTGAACAGGCTATCGGACGGCCAAGTTGGCAATATGGGGTCACTTCGCCTCGCGATGTTGAATCAAAGGTTGAATGCTAAACATAGGATCAAAGCTTTAGGATGATGCCTTGCCGCATTTGGGTGTTGTAGGCTTTCCGCCAAAACCACCTTGAGCAGTGGTCCCTTGAGGTGAGAAACATGAAGCAGAAGACCCCATGCGAACACAGCTGGGGTCAACACAAAGGTGTGTAGAGAGATATCTCTTAGATTGTGCACAGTTTCTTGTATTGTCGTCCTTGCTTTCATGTGTCCTATAGTATGATTCAGGACAGTCTCTCACACACGCACATTAGCCCCGATAACTCTAGAGGAAGCAGTTCCCCTTAGAGTAACCCTACAAGGTACCCACTCCCCGATCGCTGTAGTCCTGCGCACTGGGCTCAGCTTCTTTCTCCAAGCTGTCGGCAGCGATGAGCTGCAGTGCTGCTCCCTGAAGCCAGGTCGCACAAAGAGGATTCTATAGGTTTATAAGGGTTTCTGCAGGGCTGCGTAAGGGGCTTCTATGAGGTTTTGAGCCCGGGGTGCTCATAGGTTCAGTGTTTCTAAAGAAGTCGGGGGCGGGTGGGTCGGTGTTGTGTGTGTGTGTGTCTGTATCTGCGCGACTGTGCTCATGGCTGTTGAACATATCTCGACGGGGGTTTCGACGTCTTTGAGCGCTGGAATCGGGGCTTTTGGGGTTGCTCTTGCCACAACAAACGCCATGACAAACTCACAAAGCTACCACACTGAAATCTCCCTAAACCCTGAACCCCTGGTAGCTCTAAAACTCCTTTCACCACTTGCCTCAGAGGGCTGCAGCTTCCTCGGTCACCGTGCCAGGTTTGAGGGACTTCGTGTGTTGAGCTCCTTGGCGAGGATTCAGAAAAGAAACGGTAGAACTTCATGCATGACAACTGTTGTCACTGTTGTCTTCGAAATACAATGCTATTGGATAGACCATATCCGGTCATGTCCTTCCTTAGGAATGGTATGAAATGGTGATGTGGGCTGGTTGGTTGAGGGCTCCGGCTCCGGGGTCGAGGTCATCATGGACCTGAGTTTATCTTATTCCACGACTCGTCAACCCGCACCGTTTCCGCCGACCAAAGTAAACTTTATTTTCTTCCGTTCTGCGCGGTCAACGACCCCTCAAGCCTTGACTCCATGAGCTGGTCGCTACAGAGCCACAAAAGAGCAAAAACTCGGCTGGGGCACGGAGCGGCCGCTGCGGCAAACGCTGCAGGAGCTTCGCCAGACGACTTATAGAGCTGCCTGCCCAGAGAGCCCAATATCCCTTAATGAAGCCCCCAAAGGCTTAAACACTTAAAGGGTTCCTAAAAGGGATCTATAAGGGTGTACAGAGCTGCCTGGCAGTGGCGGCCAAGGCGATCGGCTCTGGGTCTACTTTCTATGAGCTCACTGGTTGCTGTAAGGGGGCATGTAACGGGTGCTATAAAGACTAAGGGATACCATAAGGGGTCGTCATGAGGGTTTCGGCTTCAAGTGTTGGGGTTTAATCGTGCGATTGCAGTTAAGTTTTGTCTCTACTTAATAGTGATTGCTGACGGGTGTACAGCTTCTGACTGAGCTTTCAGGGAAGCGGATGCAAGGTTTGCACGAGTTGAAATTCGGGCACTTGCGGGGGCGAGTCAAGTTTGGAGCCTCGTCCCGCCATGCCAAAGTGGCGAAGGCCCATGCCAGCATTGCCTCGGAGTTCAGCTTGAGGCAGCATCTCAGAACTTGAAGAAAACAGAAATCAATCCATGGAGCTTGTACTGTAGGGTGGGAAGGCCCCAAGCTGAATCTCTGAGGCTTGCTGAGTCTTCCTCTTTTGCCGTTCCGACTTTGAGCCTTGCGTCGCTGCATCAAGCAAGCAAGCAAGCAAGGGTGCTCTGTAGAGGGGCAACGAAAGCCGAGATACCAGTTGATGTGGCTGAGAATGGTCCTTCTCAGATATCACCTGCGTGGGAAACTCGCAGGGCGGAACATGCATCGTTTGTTGCCGCAAAACCGCAGATATGCAGGGTGACAATTATTTTCAATAGTTGTTCAGAGGCTTGCCGCGCCGCGAACATTTTGACATGGCTAGAGACTGACAAATTCGTTGAGGAGTTGTCGGAACGGCTTGATTTCGCAAACCCAATACATGTTCACAGCCCAACCTATCCCAAGATCCAGGGATCACAGGAGGCGCTTGCACCAAAACGCCATGTGGATCATGTGCATGTCCCCCCACCCCCAAGCCCCACCACATAGTTTGGTTTAGGGTTTATCGGGGTTTAGGCCCTAGGGTGTCAGCACCAGTTTACATTAAGTCTATCCATCACATGCCTCTTTGGAACTTTCGGGCAGCCCAATTGCCTTCAATCTGCAGACCGCAAACCATAAATCTAGTCCTGAAGCCTCGAGACTCGACTCCTGCAACATCAGCCCCAACCCTCCGGAGCATAAGTGCCATTCAACTCTCGAAAGCCCCAAATCGTACGAACTATGTACAATACGTTAGATAAACCCCGGAATCCCACAAAGCCCCTTAGCCTGTAGCAGCCCCTTGCGGCACCTCCCCACCCGAAGCCGCCAGGAAAGCCGCACCGGCAGCGCGGAGCTTGCTGCAGGACCAGGCGGTGCGCGCAAGGTTCTTGGCCTGGCGTCTCGATTGGATTTTAAGCATCGTAAGTTATAAGGATCCTGTGAGGGTTCTACAGGGGCTTAGGTGTAGCATTAGGGGTTTGACTCCCGGCTGCGTTAGGAGTTCATGCGAATTTATGCTGTCGGTGACAGGGTTTAGGGCTCGTGGAGTTCAAGCTTTTGGTGCTGATGGTGTTGGGCAGTTTAGGAGTTGTGGAAGATCGGGCATGTTATTACACGACAAGGAACAGATGGATAGCAGTACAATTAAATTACCAGTCATTCACAGAAACGTCGGGGAGCTGCTACGGTCGCTTGAGTCTTCAAAGGACTCACGGACTCGCGGCTCACCCTTGATTCACGTTGCATCTTTCTGGTGCGCTTATATCTTGGACAGGTGCTGAAGATCCTTGGATAAGGCAGCAACCCAATGAAACAACAACTCCAACCAGGAAATCTGGAGCCCTACAAACCTCTCAAACCCAGAACATCCCCAAGCTGTAATCCACTCCGGCGCCTCAAGCCTGGCAAGTGAAGCCTGCGCCGCAGCAAGGAGCCTGGGATCTCGCTTCTTAGTCGACATGTGCGAACCACGATGTAAATCTGAAGCCTATAGATGCCGGTCTGTAAGGAAGTCTAAAGTTTCCTGTGAGGTTCAGGGCTAATCCAGAGGTCTGGGCATCCTGCTTTCAAGAAGCACGAAGCCAAACCAGGCATGCAAACACTAATTACTGGAATCCTCCAGGCCCGCAGGCGTAAAGTGAGCCTTAAGCCCATGTGCGGTCAATTAAACTGTTCGCCCCTACCTGCACCAGCAACTGCCGAGCTTCAAGTCGAAAGGCTTTATCCCAGATCCCTGCACATTGAAACCGAACCCTACCCAAGCCGCACACTCTGCGCAGTCTTGAACTTCAGATCCAAGCACTGCTCGTGAAGGACGCATCACATACCGTGGGCAAGTGGCCCTTCCCACGAATTCTCGTGCAAGCTCTGCAGTTTGCACATGTACTCGAGCAACTGCTGGTTCTCATGGCTAGCTTTGCGTAGCTCGTGCTCTTGCTTGAGCAATGCAACCTCGACCAGCTTGGCTTCGGCTTCTGCATGCAGCCCTTGCCGCTTCAACCTGCAAGCTTGCTGTTGCACGCAACTTATCTTCCTCGCCTTTTGTTGGCCAGCTGCATCCAGGTGCTTTCCAAACTTTTGGTTTCCAGTCAGGCATCTAAGCGCAGTGTTGACTTGCACTGCATTTCGCGGAGTCAGGTCTGAAGCCAGCTCTGCCTGTTTCGCTTTGCAAAGCAATCCAGCATCCAACATCCGTTGCAGTATCCGTTTGCAAGGGCCCAACCCGCAGACCGTAAGTTCATGCATGGAGACTCCTTTCTTCGCAATCGTTGCATCAATGCTGAGTGTTCAGTTAAGAAATGGCGAAGGCACTTCAGCACTTGTGGATGTTTCTGTCCGAGTCTCAGATTCAGCGATGCTCCTCCACGCGGCTGTTCGATGTAGCCCTCTGCATCGAAGAAGCCGGTGAAGTACTCCCAGCTGCACGGACCAGCCACCGCAGAGTCGTGCTGTTTCAGAGCGCGCAACTCGGCCTTAAAGGTTTCTCTTTGCGGGGACTTTGCATCGGGCCACTGGGCCAACAGCAGAAGCTGCCGCAGCTTGGTGATGCCATGTGGTGCAAGCAGATCAGCTGCCCTTCGGGCCGACTGGCCATCCGCGTACCACTGAAGCGATGGTTTGCTCAAACCCTTGCCTACTTTTTCGTAAGCGATGCTCCCTCCAAGTGTTTTGCGGAAGAGCATCAGAACCTCAGCCTGGTCAAAAGACTGGCTCACCTTTAGACGGGTTCCGCGCCCGATGCTGCTTACCGAGCCATCTCCATCGAAGAAGCCAGCCAAATAAGCGAGCCTGGCTTCTGCTGGTCGATGAATGCGTTTCTGCTTTGTGGCCGGCAAAGGAAGACTGTAGATTTGCCCGTCCGAGATGAAGCACTTCAAACCGGGCCAGCGACTTTGGCTCAGCTGGGCTCGAAGCTGTTTGTTTTGTGTCTGAAGTTCCTTCAATGACTTCAATGTGTCAGAGCAGCTTGCGGCGACGCAGCAGCATGCCTCATCTTTGGGCCCTGCTGTGCAGCTTAAGCTCGTGCTGGTGGCCCAGGCTGCCAGGAGCAACAGAACCCTGCCCCACCTAATCGCCTCCCTCCTCGCCCAAGCTGCCAAAGGAGTCTGACAGCCCGGAGCTCGCATCACACTGGCCAGCAGGGAGGAGGCATGGCAGAGTAGAGGCCGCGAACCAAATCAGCTGCTGACATGAGCAGGGAATCAGAGTGGTAGTTTGCACCCTCGTGTCAAGGCCACCGCCTCAACCACATATCCGTCAGACAAGGAACCTTTGGAAGCGCGGGTCGCGCACGAGAGACTCATCCGAAATTGGCACCCTCCTCAGCATTCAGGGTTTAGCCGATGTTGGGTGAGCATTCATCTGCGCTCAAAGCAACACGAAAAGCGTATCCGTTCACCGTTCCATTGAACCAGTGCTTTCTTGGCGCAACCATGCGTCACGGTTAAGTTAGACACAGTTGAGCCTATGCTGAAACAGCAGCCATGGGCGTGAAAGGCCTTAGCAGCTTCTGGGTTGAAGAGTATCCGTTGAGCTTTGCAAGGTCTTGTTTGGCAATAGAAAATGCTCTGGTGCAGCTTGATAAGGATGCATGGGCCCGATAGGAGCTTAAATGGTTAGAGAGTGAAGGGCTGTCCAAAGTGTTGTCTTGAGGAGAGCAGCGTTTAGGGCCGACGGTGTAGCGCTCGGGCTCCCAGTCTACCTTCGGGAACTTGTAAGTTGTCCGTGCAAGGGCGGCCCTCATTGACGAGAACGAAAAAGCCCCAAGCCAGGGCTCTGCTAGGCCAGTTGGGAGAGGGCTGCGGAGAGGTTGACCCCGTCGAGGACGGCAAGATGATCTGCACAAAGGCTCAGAACGGCCTGGTGCAGGGCGGTCGTCATTCTCACTGGCTCAAAACCCAAGGAAATAAAAGTTGAAACTTTCAGAATCGACTACCTTATAAGAACCCCAAAAGTTGAAAAGTTGAGTTTACAGCCACTAAGCATTGCAAAGGTTACTAACATCTCCTTAGTTACTCCCAGATTCAATTCTCACCAGCGTGACTACGCGCTTGAAGCACTAGTAGTCGCTGCGAGAACACCCCCCCTGCCCAAAACCGTGAATAACAAGCTGTCATACAGGGGCCTTAATAATTAGAATAGGGTTTTGGGGCCATTGCGCTACAATTATGATAAGGAACCCCCCAAACTAGTACAGTATAGGTAATTATGATGGCCCTTGTTGTACATCCCTTAAACCCTCGCTGGCACTTCCCTTTTCTGGTTGACCCCTTTCCATTGCCGCCGGAAGGTAGTGCACTGCATTTGATGGTCTGGGGCTGTTGGCTCTTGGTCACAGCGGCCCTGTAGGGCACAGCTAGTTGCGTATTGCTTGAGGCATCCAAGATAAGAAGGGACCATATTGCAAAGAACACTCGCCATAAACCCTAACCCCTAAACCGCCTTATTATATCACGAAGCATTGCCTCCCGCCAACAGTAGGCTTCAAGGCGCTGGCTCAGGGATGAAGCTTCCGGGCTACTGTGACTCAGGGGTTCCTGAAACACTTGGTCTTCAAAGGAATCAACTATGAAGCCCTTATGACCTTTAGAATAAGACTGCCCTAGGTTCGTGTGAGCCCCTTTATTATAGTAAGGGTACTCTTTATTCCTTTTTCCTACTAGTCGGCAATAAGGGGAGCCTACAACAAAAAGGGCAAAGGGGTACACTGCTCAGAACCTCGTAGACCCTAAACTCCCCCATAGATCCCCTATAGAACCCTTTAAGGAACCCTTTAAACCTAGTCATCCCTTATATATAGAACCCTTAAAAGTGTACTTGAAGGAGTGCCATACCCGCAGAGGTAAAGCTTTTGTGGGTCTGGTTCTGTGGCTGTCCGGCCTCTGAGCTGGTCTGCGCCATCAGCTACCGGTTCAACGTCATGTTTACCTGTTTAGGGTTTAGGGTTTGGGGGTTTAGAGGCTTAGGGTTTCTAGTTTAGGGTTTTTGGGGGTTTAGAAGTTTAGGGTTTAGGGGTTTAGAGGTTTAGGGAATGGGGTTTAGGGCTATGATATAAAGGCCTCAATTATTAGAATAGGGTTTTGGGGTAATTATTCAAGCCCCTGCAGTGGGGTTTAGGGGCTCAGGGGCCTAGACGGTCTCCAGGACTGCGGGCTCAGGTTTTGTAGGCACCAAGCGTGTTTCCAGATAGGTTTGCGAAAAAACCAGGCCATGTTTTACCAAAGCCCGGTCACTAACAACCAAGACTGAAAACCCCTTAGGTTGAAGGCTTTTCCTTCATCCTACACTCCCTCCTCCCACAACCGACCAGTTATAGACGTTCACTTCGTGCAACTAAACACGGTGCAACTTTAACAGAAAAGGTTACACTCTTACTTGTTGTTGAGAAGACGCTGGGGAGCTTAGTATCGCAGTATTAGACCTGTTCTTGCTAGGACGGTCATTGCTGTTGCTGTTCCGAGAATCATACTCGGAAATGAGGTTTCTAGTTGTTTCAGTACTCCTATTCTTGTTGTTTTTGCGACTGCAGGGATCGTCATGAAGGTAATTCTTTGGACAAGGGTCCCTTCTGGGTTCCTGATGGCTTGAAGTTCGATTGTTTCGGAACCCGAACAGGTAGGTTTAGAAAACGATAAAATCTTTTGTCGGAACAAAAGTATTCTACAAGCATGCAGGAAACGATGAACGAATCCCAGACTCCAAAAGCGCCTGGAATAAAGTGCTTTGCTTTCCAGGGTGTGTAGTTTCGGGGGCCTGAATCATTAGAATAGGGTTTTTAGGGCAAATTAAACTATATATAACTGTAGTAAGGAACCCTAGGAATAATATTGGTCCTTATTTCGGCCCCTATGCCGGAGCTGTGGCCAAGTAAGCACTCGAGCTCTTTTGCGAGGTCGCCCCCCCCCCCCCACAAGAATTATTGGGCGAGAAAGACAGTAACTATGTCTGTCGCTGTCCTAGCTCGTTTTTCCGTGCACTCAAACTGCTCGGTGCTGGCTGCAGGTTTCCCTCGGGCAGTGCCTTAGAAGGTTGTTCGACATTTATGTAAATCGATGCGTGCGTGGCGGCCTCTGTTCTATCCGTGCTGCAGCATTTTGACGCCTAGTCGGCCTGAAACTTCAGCTTGCCCTAGAGAACAAAACGACCCACAGGCCAATTATGAGGCTCGGTGCCAGGACACTCCCCACATCACCACATATTGATCTATAACCCAACTCGAGGCGACACCTCACCTGGCCTGAACTGCTCGGGACCTGCGCGCTCAGGCTTCTATGACCCCAAATGCCGACATGATAGAACAAAAAAGTGAGTAATAGGGCAGCCAGCCAGGGGCAGCCGCAGCAGCAAAAGCAACAGCAACACCGACCAGAATGCGAATATTAATTACTACAACAATGCGCAACGCAAAAACGTCCAAAACAGCTTGGCCAGGCCTCGCGGATGTCACCACCTGCTGCGCGAAGAGTGACGAAGCGCCGTGCTCCGGCTTCGGCCGCGAGAAATCCTCATGTGTTGTTTGTCTGCTGCTTTGCACGCGACCGTTTCAGAAGTTGGGGGACGCGGCGGTAAGCCTCAGGCGACAGATGCCTGTGGTTCTGGAACGTCTCAGGGGCCTGTTGTTGGGGCTAAATGTCTTGTACATTTTGCAGCGGCTGGTAAACGGCACCACGTCAATGCTGTATCTCTCCATTCTCAATGGTTTGATGCTTTTCTTCTTGTTCTTACTATTACCAGGCCTTGTCCTCCTGCTCCTCCTCGTACTCCTGCTGCTGCTGCTGCTGCTGCTGCTGCTGCTGCTGCGATGACTACGACTACGACCGCGATCGCGACGACGGCGAGCACGAGCAGGAGGTCGATGACGAGCAATATGATTGCGACAAAGTTGACGACGACCAGGGCAACTGTCACCAACCTGACTGACGACAACGATGATGACTGCGGCGACGAGGGGAAGACACCAAGCACGACCACCACCAAAAGGGGGGTACCGCCACAACGAAAACGAGAACCGCGACTGCTGTGTCGTCCCTTTGGTGTCGGCTACAATCAGGACCATCGCAACCGATGCTGGACATGGCTGTGAGTTCTACCACGTTTGTGAGGATCAGCCTGATGGCCAGCACCAGGACATTTGTGGCACGTATTTGACCCCTGACTCACGTGCTGATGATGAAGATCGTCACTCGCATACACCCATCGGCACTACCAGTTGCGATTATGTGCAGTCCGTCTATTGCGAACCCTCATCCTAGGACAGAAAACTCGGGCTCTGTCTTTGGAAGTCTTTTACAGTTCTCCCCATGCCCGGCACAGCCCAAAGCCTACCCTCTGACGCCAAGGAGCCGAGAAAGCACTAAGTTCTGGTGAGCGTGTCGCCCGCGGCCCTTTGCCTTCCGAGGCTTTCGTCGCTTGCTTGCGACTTCCACATGCGCTTGGGAAGGCTTGGGCTGGTATGCCCTTACCTTTGGGTAGTTGTCAATATTAAGGTTCCTTTCGGGGCACCCTAGATAATAGGTGTCGTACTACAATAGGGACCCAACAAAGGACCATAATTTTGGCAACCACCCATATAGCCATATAGGTTTCTACAGCCTTCTACCACAGGGTTGCAAGATTTGAGCTTGTCTAAGGCTGATCACTTCCGGTCTCGCTTCATTGCTGAGAACTAATTGATCTTAATCCGCTGGGTTCCGCTTCGGGACTTACTTGGAGGGTCGGGGGACTTAGTAACTGGTTATTTTAGGGACTTATAACTACCATAACCCCAATTAGGGTCCCTTTTAGGGTACTTACAAGTCTACTTGCTACCTACTTACTAGGTCCCCCGACCCTCCAAGTAGGTTGTGGAACGGCCGTGGGCTTCTTCTCTCACCGGATTTTGCGCCGTAATATAGGGGCCTTACTAGTTAGAATAGGGTTTCGGGCCCCGTTCCACTATATTCAGCTTTGGGGTCGGGGAAAGTGCTCTGTGTTTGAACACCGTTTCGGGGAGTATGCGGCAAGAACTGGAGGAGTTCAGAGTTTGAGAGGGCCCTCTGCCGAGAAATAGCAGCAGCTGGGATGTCTCAAAGCAAATGATGTGTACATATGTCAACCCCTTTCTGTAGTTTGCAATAGGATTCCACAT